AATAACATATAGGCTACTTTACATCCCTGAATTCCCGAAAATCCCGGAAATCCGTTGATAACACCGCGGGGAGCAGCTAGTATCAGATAAAAATAACGCGTTGATGTTAAAGATCAAATGACGAACGTGTTATCAAGTAACCCTTAGAACTTGTTTGAAATGTCACACATACGATGCGTTTCCCGGTTTCTCATTCAATTATCCACGTTAATACTAAACTTGCAAAGTTTCTACATATATGTAGTGACAATACAGAATTATATTAAATAGTTTTTAATTCGTTTCTTTTTAAACCTCCTTTCTAATTCTCAAACCGTGCAAAACTAAATCTGAGTCCACACCTACAAAATACTTGATCCTTAAATCTCGTTCTGACAAAATGGCCGTCTGATATGTCACTTGAACGATAAATCTTATAAAATAGGAACTACAAAATACAGGTAAAATAAGTTTATTTGCTATTTAATGTTAAAATTTTATTAATATAACAAAAGTCATATGATTACCTGATCTTGAAAGTGTAATAGTTTTTATAAAAGAAAAAAATATAATCAAAAGTTGTCTACTAAATTATATAAATTTCAGGATACAAAAAATTCCTATGTTGAAGTTATTTTCTAATATTCGTGAACATAGCTCGATCTCAGTTTAATCTGAGCTCTTCAAATGGAGGAGCATCGTTCATTCACAAGATGGCGGCCTCACTACGCTCGTTACAAGACTCTTAAATTATTATAAATATTATACCAAATAAAGACACGAGGATCGTAAAATCTTCACTAAAGCTACTGAGATTTTAAGGTAAATTTAAAAATCTTACCTTTCTTTTATAACTATGTGATTCTAGGGTTGAAGAAAAATTATTTTTCTCTTCAAAACAGTTACTTACATGAGAAATTAATATATACATATTTATATGTTTGTGTGTGTGTGGGTAACTTCACTACTGAGACTTTCATGATTTATATATTTGTATATTCTCTAACTATTTAGTTTATTACATAACATAATAATCAAAGTTAAATGTGTCAAAATGCCAATAACTCGACCGTTTCCGGACGGTACACACGTTGTACATGTCATGACAAACATGGCATCAGGCATGTCATACCTATCATGTCTGGATCAGCTTCAACTTGACTTCATCACACAACTAACATTCAAATCCATAAAGCCACTAACACTCACTAATATTAAATAAATAATTAAAAAATATTTAATAAAATTCATTCTATAAATTTATATTTTTATTATATAATTTGCTTTGGTATATTTTACAAATTTAGTAATCAATGAAAAGTATTAGTCAATATGTAAGTGTTTATTTCACATTATCTATAGTGTAGTGTGAACCAAGCCTTATCGGAAACCTTCAATAGCTATTCAAGACAATGTGAATATTTCGAACATAACTTATTTGCATATTTTGTTGGCTGTATTAAACGTATTTGATAAAATTTACTATAGAAATATATCGATTTATATATTATCAAATGATATGTTGAAATAATATAAATATAGACGCTATCAGCATTAATAACGGATGTGACATGAAAATAATTTGAAGCTGTCATCAATTCTTATTAAAACTCATTAGTATTCATGATTATTGTTAAAATTTAAACGAAATCAAAGATTGTTTAAAAGGAGCATAGAACGATGTTTAAATCTTTGTGTAAATAAGACGTACGCACGACGGCAGAGTTCAGTAAGTGCGAACCATTGAAAAATGTGATTATGAAGAACCTTCGAGAAATACAGGAACATTAAGAACAATTGAAGTTTCATTTTAAAATATCATGGAACGTACTAGAAGAAGTGACATTAGTAACGTCAGCGAGGCTGGCTTTTATCTCTCTTTAAAAACAACGAATGTGTAATAAATCCGATATATATAATTCATTGTTTTGTCAAATACAGTAGCCGTACAGAAATTAGACCGAAATTATTCAAACGTATTCGAATGTTAATGAAGCAAACTGCAAACATGACATAATTTAATCTAACCCATTTCAAATATTGTCAAATTGACAAACTAATACTTAATAGATGAAATACGATGGTTAAAATAATGAAAACCTTGTAATTCCAGGGTATACAGGGTGACTGGTGAATTACTATCAATATTTAAGGAGCATACTCTGTACATGATTCTCATTCGAATTATGTAAAAAAATAGGTACTTAATTTTTGACCAAATTTCCGTATAAATAAATAAAGTGTTGACACGTTCCAAGTGTTCCAAGTGTGGACGCGTACGGCGGCGTGCTGATACAACAAGACGCCGCCGCGCGCGAGTGTGTGTGTGTGTATACCTAATCTGTAGGGTGTTCATACGATGCGTAATTAATTACATAACTTTTGGTTAACTTTACTTAGAAGTTTATTAATATTTATGTTATATTAATTTTTATTTTGTCATATATGATCGTCAAATATCACGTCCTCAAATATCGATAGTAATTCACCAGTCACCCTGTATATACATCTGACATGTTGGAAGTTTAAAAAGAAATTCTCATATACATACTCTTTGGATAACCTTCTTTGACATTGACATTAAAAAAAAACAAATCAAGTTTTTTTCGTCCCAAATTTCTAATCAATATTCGTTGAATACCGTCCGTGCTAATCTTTAAGTATCACGTCGATACCTTTTAAACTAATTCATCTTTAAATCCGCTGTCGCACCCTCCTCAAAAGGACTTTGAAGTCAAAATATATATAAGAGTATTGGAACACGTTTCATAGGTGTGCCGTCACTGATGTAAAGTCCAATCAATCGTTCCTTCAATGGCTTTTGTCGTGTTAATGGGAAAAATGACAATTAATTTTAGTTTTTCAACTAAAAATAGAGATTCTATTTTTGCTTTATGTCCTTATTATAATTTAAACGCCTAAAAATCACTGTATACAGGAACATTTATTAATGAACGAAACTTATACTTACCATTTAGTAAAAAAACAAAATATTTATTTCTTCTAATATTCCGAATATTTCATGCAATTAATTTCTTTGTAATGACATCAAGAGATAAAAGTATAAAAGATGTCTCAATTTAAACACAATTAGGTTATTCTGGTTATATTTGAACTGAATAAATATCTTTTATTTTGATTGTATCTTAATTAAGGTTTTGTATTAAAGAAAAGGAAAGAAAAGATATGAACAGTCCCCTAACAGTGATTGTGTCAGAAGTTTAATGAGTCTGTATAATGACCGTTTGATAAACACTTTTATATTCGCTATTAAAAGTTTAAAGAATTTGATATCTCTTGTTAAATACAAAGTTAATAAAAGTTTGATAAAATTACCGCTTCGATGTTAAAAATTTAACTAATCATAAAGATCCTATTAACATCTCTATTAAAATATTAAGACTGAAGTGTGGCTCATTACGTGATATACCTACTCATCTTCTTCTTCCTGGCAATTACCCAGCTTTAGCCAGGGTCTGCCTTACATTTTGTGATTACTTTTGGCTAATTGTTTTTACGACTGGCCGCCTGCCTGACATCAACCCTTCTTGGGAATGCATTAATCAGTGATGTCTAAATACTCTCAGAAAGTACATATGACTCGGAAAAATCACATTGGTACTTGCCAGGATCGAACCCGCGCCATGCATGAGAGGCGGGCCTTTTAACCACTAAACCACCACTGACTTAGCATGATTGTATGTCACCAACGTGATATACTAATATATATAAATATAATTTATGTTGTTAAATTAGTGTATGTATATATATACTAGTTTTTGCACGCGAACCCATACGCATGAACATCAGAGTTACGTTCAGAATGAAATGTAGTATATTATGTTAAAACAATAGATATCGTAACATACATTGCAGTCTTTTCATTTTAAATAACGTAGATATCGAATGTAGCTAGTTTATTTGTCAATCTAAACCATCTGGGGCTACACCCGAATACATACGAAACAATACATTCAAATCGGTCCAGCCGTTTGGGAGAAGTGTAGTGACATACACACATACAATTATATATATAAAAAGGGTACAATTACAATAAAACAAAATATAATTTATAAGTATTTATTAATATATACAATATATATTCCAAGAAAAATTAAATGCATTGGAATGCAATACTAAAGAAGGACACTTATACTTAAGTACTAAATAGAAATACTATGAAAACCTCGAATTATAAGACTTTAAGAAATAACGTTTAAAGCGGTACTATTAAATCACGTGTATATTATTGTTCGTCTTGTAAGTTGTGCTTCATCTTATCTGAAATAAAAACATTCATATTATATAAAATATTACTTTAAAGTGAAACTTCCTATGCAACATCTAACAAGGTTGCGTTAAACGTTTAACGCAGCTGGGAGGGGACAAAGAGACAAAGCGAGAGAATGCGTGGCGCTCGAAAGCATGCGGGCAATTAATCGTGAGTTTTAAGTAATGTTAATAAAGTTTGTTTTAAATAAACAGTAATAATTCCTTAAACATTAATTTCTACTCTTTCCTATATTCCTTCCAAAATAACGAAGCATCACTTCTTTTAAACTCCATACACTTTTTTTTTCTTAGCCCATACGAGTATTTTATTACCACACATTTATTCGTCACAATAGCTCTTAATAATATTTAATCCCTACTAATATTATAAATGCAAAAGTAACCCTGTCCGTCTGTCTGTTACGCTTTCACGCCTAAACCACTGAACTGATTTTAATGAAATTTTGTACAGATATAGAGTTGACCTTGAGAAAGAACATAGTACAGTTTTTATCCCAGACTTTTGAAAGGTTCTCTTGGAAACGCGATATAACCGAACTCCACGCGGGCGAAACTGCGGGCGGAAAGCTAGTTTAATATAAATTAAATCTTACTTGTACGCTTAATATTCTAAATGACTATAATAGTATACGATATACAAGAGCTAATAGAAAAAAATTTATATAATATAAAAATTATGATCTCCTTCCGAGCCTACCTTCTATACTTCTTCTTCTTCTATAATCTTCTCACTCCTTCTTATCGCCATTATTCTTCCAGATGTAATAGGACAAAGAGGAAGCGTAGGCCAACCAGCCTAAATAAGGCAGCATTAACGCACCAGCGTTACGACTGACAGCGTAAAATGAAACCGTAGTAGCTATGGCAGCGCCGCTCAGAACAGATATTTCGATGAAAGCCTGGAGATATTGTATAGCTTATAGGAAAATGTATTTTATACTTTTTTACAGAGCCTTGGTCCTAGAATGTGTTATAGGTATTTGGGAATAACATATATATTAGGTAGATTATATAAAATTTCGTATTATCTTGATGGCTGAAGCAAAATTTTCCAAAAAAATTACAGAAAAATTGTGTTAACTTTTCTTTGGTTGCACTTATTAACAACGGTTATGAATAAAGATAAGTTAATTTTTATGTTGTTTCTTTGCTTTCACCAGCTCGACAGATTTGGATATTTTGGTTATAATTAATATAATATGACGGAATAATCTGTTGCCACGGAATAAATCAAATATGGCGTCCAGTTATGAATTCTTAAATTCATACCTAACGCTTTGTTCACCAAGTTCATATCATATTAATTAACCCGCCAATTTGTACCACTGACCAAAAAAACTAATAAATTTTAAAGTTCCTAATTATAATTAAACATTTATCGTAAAAATTGATTCTTTTAAAATTTAAATAATCGTGCTTTATAACGTAAACTTTATTTTTTCTAGATTTTAAGAGAAAAACGAAAAATTTTATTCAATACATCTAAAAAGATTATACCATAATTTCTATATATCTTACATAATACATATTAGAACATTATTCGACCGTGAAGCAATGAGTTCTGAATGGAAAAATATGAAGTTGAAAATATTGAATTGGCCGTTTCAGATAATTGAAGTTGAGTGATCTTCAGGTGAGCACCATACAGAAGTGGTCTTTGAGACGTCTTCAGACTGAACTGTCACTGAAGATCATTTGATATTCATTCCGACTCGTTTGTTTTATATTGACGAGATCATAAATATGATGATAATTATTGAAAGGGAAAAGCCTTGTAATGGCTGTTTTTATGTATTTTTGATATATCTTATTAAATATGATGCTTTTTATCAAAATCTGTCAATTTGGGGGAAACAAGTACAATTATTACGCATATATATATTTTATATAATTTATCTAAGTTTTAATATGATTTGACAACGAAGTAATAATCCCTTTTATTCTTAGGTAGCAAATCCGATTTTTCTATGGTGACTGCTGTCTAAAATGGCGAATATATATATCGACAGTTTTGAAATATTTAAATAACGCGTAGTATCCAACAATGTTAGTTTCTATTTTAATTGGCGAAAATCTTAGATTTATCTATTTACCTTTACTGGTTTAAAATTTCAAATATTCCTCCATACAATTTTTCTATAAAAGCATTATCATTGTAACAGTTCATAATATATTACTCACCAATTTCAGGTCTTTAAGACCGAAGAATATCGGCGTCCAAGCCCAGTTTAGTGCGAGCTGGGCTCCATACAAGGATAGAGGGAGAACAGCTTCATCTGTTGAGAGTTATTACAATTATATATCATGATAGTCTTAAAATACATATAAAATTTATTAAGAAAAGATTTTAAGTTAGGTCAATGAAAATGAAGGGAGAATTTTAACTCAAATTCATAAAAACAATATTGATCGCAATTTTTGCAACGTTTCATTAAAATTTTCTCATATACTATTTAATATTGGATATTTTTGAAATTAATTCAGTAGTTTCTAATACAAGCTGTGTCTGAGTTAACAATTCTCAGTGTAGACCTATGTTACTTTAAATATATATTTTTAGCAAGTAATCTAAGAAATATCTAGTTTCTATCAATTTCAATTTCTAGACAGGTTATATAGACTTTATATTATGTTAAGTACTTGCCAGTAAATCCTCCACACTCTTCGTATACCAGATACGAGGCATAACCCATTCCACTGTATAATATTGTCCAAGCCGGTCCAAAAACCCATTTGGGAGGATTCCAGGAAGGTTTCTTTAAGTCATCATACCACGCTTTCCCTCCCTCCTTTCTGATTTGACCAGCGAAGTATAACCCATTAGCCCAACCACCAGCGTTGGGAAGAATCACTGACCCTATTGCTGCCCAATTCGCCATACTGAAGACATTTTTGACCATTAGTTTGACATCAATAATGGATATTTATCTGATTGGTTTGTAGTTATTTATCTCCAAAGAAATAGTTTACATATTTTTTTTTTATTACAAAGTAGAAATATTTATTATTTTAAATAGCATCACATAAATATAATTGAAATAATAAAATAACGAGTGTATGAGTTTTTTTCGTTATTACGAGTATATTTAAAAGTTATTCTCGTATTCTTCATACCATCTAGACTAGGACTAGGAGTTGATATAACACAGTTCTGAATAACACAATAATGCTAGAAATTCATCACATTAATATATTCTTTTTTTCGATTTGAATTTAACTAGTACCTTATAATCCACTAACATGTTATTCAAGACGTTTTTTTTATTTTCCTTAGTCATAGTTAACTCTAGGTTTAAATATAAAATAGCGTATTTATTTCATATTAATCAATTCCCAAAATGCGTTTAAATTTACCACAAAAAGCCACTTGTAAAGATTAAATTTAAAGTAAACCAAAATCTATTATACAAAATAGTAATGCTGTGTTTATTTTATAATGTTAGTCACGTTTCAGAACAGTTAGGATAGATCGTATTTTGTTACGTTCAAAAACAGTTGATGACCTCACATGTTAAATATTCGGCACAATCTATGTATGAAAAATATTACGACTATTTTTCTTTACACATCAATAGATCATTATTTGGATTTATAAAATAAACTTGCAACATTAAATGTTGGCCAAATTGTCAGATATACATAATTAAAAAACATAAAAACAAAAATTTGATCTGAGCATGATTTCTGCATAGTTAAATTAATTTACTGGTATCAAAAAAATCTATTAAACAAACAAAATACCAAAAATCCATATAACAGAAAATTAATATTTTTATTCCGTCACAATACTCACAACTACCAAGATATAATATTAGATATTATTAAAGCATAGTAACTTCATACCACACATATGTAATTTACATATAATTGAAATACAAAATAAACTAATTATATAACAATGTGCAGTCAGAACTATTTTCATTAAGTTTTTGCACCATTCAATGTATTTCCCAATAAAAAATCATGAACATTGATATTACAAACTCAACCTGCCCGCTTGATGCATAAAAATCAGTCTTCATTAATACCAAGGTAATATTATAAAATGCATTACTATATTTTAAGAATTATAAAACACATGACAATTCTTACAAAGTATTGTATAATCAATCATTAAGAGCATAACAGACAGTCAATTTGACTGTAAATATGTTAAACCATTTAATGTTAAAATGATAAAAACCTTAATAAATCATCACCATTTTTTAAGTATTACAATATATTAATAAACAAAATATTCATCACTAAATGCAAATAAAACTAAACATATGAGTTTATGGATAAACATAAGAATTTTTATATGAATTGAATCAAAAATAAACCAACATTAGTCATGAATCACAAGTTACATATAATTTCATCGCTATTATTATTTCATAGAATAATTTTAATAGCAACCCTTTTCTGGAACATACCAGCCAGGTATTACAAAACCAATTGAGAATACATTAACCTTAATTGAATTTGTCGTTTGTCATATTTTACATCATATATAGTGTATTTAAATTGCTTGATCTAAATGAAACATGTTATATGTTTAGTCATTTCTCAGCTGCAATGGATGCATTACTCAGTTTTGGTTTCTGTGATATTAGAGATAAGATATTATGGTTATAAAAGTAACTTTTATCAACAGTTATCATCTTAAATAAATCTCTATGTAATCCTAGAATGAAGTTTCAAATGTTTTGTGAGTCAATTGTTCTGAAAATGCCTTAGTTTATTAGAAAAATTTAATCATTATTAATTTAAATCAAAGTATTTATACACAAAAAGAAATTAATATGATTCTGATACATTTAAAAACCATAATTTTAATGATTAAATTTCTATTAATTATGTTCGAATTTCAAAATTTTCCTGGTTTACTTTTTTTTACTTGTGATTATAAATGTATAGAAATGAACATGATTCTACATTCGAATTTTAAATTTAATTTTTTTTAATGTAGTAAACCGATAATTTTTTCTAATTATTTCTCGAAAAATTTTGTATTGTTAAAAATATTTTGTTATTTCACGTACCTTGAAACACGTAATTACAACAATAGTTCAATATCACTCTAAAGTACTTAATGACGTAATTTTAAAATTACTGAAAGTCAAGTAATAGTCACTTATTACAAAGGATGAATAATTTTGTTTACACAAGAACCGGTAATTCTATATTCCTAAATATAAGGAAATGCGATTGATAATAATAAAAACTACATACGCTCTGTTTTTGATGAGAAGTCCCACGCTCAAATAGAAGTTGGTCTAGTTAAGAATTACTACAATATAAATGAGAGTCTTGAGAAAATTGGAAAATGTGCAGTGAAACTTTTATTCAATGTAGAAAACCCGACTGAATTGTATAAAAATCAATGTAGAACTTTTGTCTCGACGACAATTGCCGTCTTAATTTTGTTGTATTATATTTAAATATCGTGACTTTACTTGTTCCGTTTTACGCAAAGAATATTGAATACAATGATACCGTAAAAATAAACCAATGCTCATAATTGTAATAATTACACATTTAAATAGTTTATAATACTAATAATTAACCATCTTTTAACCATTTAAAAATTTTGCAATATGTTTATTTCTTTCTAGACTGTTTTTTTTAGTAATTATATAATTTCATAAAATCTGGACATGGTTTAAGCTTACTTGAAATAGCGTAATAAAATTAAGAATTCATATGAAATCTTCCTTTGAAGTATTTTTTATATATCTTTATATTTTAAATAAACTTACAGAATTTTTAAATAGTACTAAAGGTCGTATATTTTATATAATAGGATGGCAATACTATAAGTCATCGTTCTTGTTATCACTTTATATCGGCTTATTATTATTATTTGTTATCATTTATCACTTATCATTGTCTGACAATATACTACAGTTATCTTATCGTTCATATTAGTACTGTATTGTTTGAAGCTGGACCAATCCTGAAGTAGTTTCTTTGTTTTGCCGGTCGAAATACTGAACAAAAAATCCATTTAAGTTTTATACTCAACAAATATAACATTTTGAACTAAACTAAAGGTAAGATAGTGAGCTGTTCATTATATTTTTAATTCTAATAATATTCAATTTAAAAATATGAAGCGTTTACTTTACATTAAAAAATCAATTCAATAATAACTAATAAGGTACACTCAACAAATATTATGCAATTCAAGATATATTAGATTGCGCACTATTACTTAATATTTATCAATTATACTTTATGCTATATTTTTAAATACCTATTGTTTAATAAAATTGACTTTTACAAACAAAATAATACTACACTGAATATAAAATATTAAACATAAAAAAATAAAACTTCCAAATTTAAAATCACTTAAAGTAACACTCGAAAACTAACTCCCGATAAAGTTTTGTCGCAAACGATGATTATTATTAATTTAGGAAGATAAAATTAATTTATATTAAAATATCTGAATGGTATCTTATATGATATTGCTGTTATTAGGAAAATATTTCTAATTAACCATGGTCAATTGGAGTATGATTGGTGCAATGGTGCTGCCAAATGCCGGTGGCTGGCTCGGAGCTTTGACTATGTCCGGGCAAGTTAGATCTAAGACTGGAATATCCTGGTATGATACAATAAAAAAACCAAGTTGGAATCCTCCAAAATGGGTTTTTGGACCGGCCTGGACCATTCTATATACAAGTATGGGATATGCCTCTTATAAGATTTATGAAGATTGTGGAGGTTTTACAGGTAAGTGAGGAAGATGCTAGCAAGTTACTCTTAACTCTTTGCCTCTAAGTGTTGTCAATTCAAAATCTCTAAATATATTTAAAAAACGATTAAGAACTCATATATTAGAAGATTTCACTGATCTTGTTTGATTGTTTACTATTTATTATTTGTAATTTTAATTGTAGTTATAGTTTTTAAAATTTCCTTTGTAAGCGAACTTTGTTCTTTTTGGAAATAAACTTCTTTAAACCTAAGTTTAGTTTTCACTTTTTATACTACCAATTGCATTCTATTTACTATTAATAAGAGTTAGTTTTAGAGTTTTTTATAACACACTTTTGATATATAATATCTAAGTTATTTGTCTGGATTACTATCAAAATTTATTTTGAATGTATGTATTTAAAATTTTTTTCAGAGAAAGCTGTATTGCCACTATCTTTATACGGCAGTCAATTATTGTTAAACTGGACTTGGAGTCCGGTGTTTTTTAAATATCATAAAATAGGTTGGGTGAGTATAAATACTTTTATTTAACCAACTTCATATAATATAGTACTTGGAATTATTATCTAGTGCTTTTGGAAGAATGAAGGTTTAATTCAAGAAGTTTCAATATGATAGGTACTATGAAAATTAGTTTAAAAATAAAGAAAGATATACTAAAATAGATATTATGAAATGTTGAAGTCATAACACAGACTTAAAATAAATAATTATCAATTTTTACGTTTTTAACACTAACTTATAGAAACCTTTATCAATTTTTAAGTACTTTTTCTTGTTTTTTTCAGGCTTTCGTACATATAGTAGCATTAGACGTAATGGCCGCTGCCTGTTCGTTTAGCTTCTACAACATCAATCAAAATACTATATATTTTATGTCGCCGTATCTAGCTTGGCTTAGTTTCGCGTCTTTGCTCAACTATACTATATGGAAAATGAACAGTGATGACAAAGGTACCATTAAACCTCTATAAATTAAAAAATATATAATAATAATATTTTTGATAAATATTTTGATCTATGAAAGATTTTATTATGGTATGGTGTAATGAAAATTATATGTCATGTTAATTATTTAATAAATGTATTATTTCATTCGTTTTAATTTATTCAATTCCCCTTGCTGTATGGACGCGTCCTTGTAGATTTGTTTAACTTTTTCTTTGCGGATGTTGTCACTGTAAAAAAATATATACAGATTATTATATGCAACATTGATTTTTAGTGTTCATAGACATTAGAAATATGTATAAGAAATGATATCATTATCATTAAAGTATATTAAGAATAATATATCCTATTTGACAATTAATTTAATTAATTTGTCTTTATAATATAAATTTTTAATGAAGACCAATATTAAAATATATAATTAATTTTAGGTTATAAGTTACAATAATTTATGCTTCATATTTTAAGATATATATCCCTAATAATATTATATATGCGAAAGTAACTCTGTCTGTCTGTTACGCTTTCACGCCTAAACCACTGAACTGATTTTAATGAAATTTGGTACAGACATAGAGTTGACCTTGAGAAAGAACGTAGGATATTTATCCCAGACTTTTGAAAGGTTCACTTGGAAACGCGATATAACCGAACTAAACGCGGGCGGAAAGCTATTATATATATAAATTGCTGCATAATACTTAATTGATTTTGATAAAACTATCATAATTTCATCACTAACCTCTGTATTTTCTGTCTTATCTTAACAGACGCTATATAAGCCTTATCTCTTCTAATCTCCCTCAAAGCTCCTTTCATTTCCTTCTTGTATTTTCCTTTTAATCGAGCTCTCTCAGCTCCCTCCTTGGACATTTTAGAACTCTTGCTACCTGTGAAACTGAAATAAAAACAATTTTATATATAAGTATATTTCAAATTTAATTATTTTTCTTATTATACTTGTTCTCATTACTTAATATATCTTTTATTACATATAGGAAATGCTTATCGAGTATTTAGTAATAAAATAGTTGGATTCAAATTTAAGTCTTAGTGGCATTTCGATAAAAACTGTTTTTACAACAAAATATTTTATATGACAGACCATTTATAATAATACTATCTGTATTTCTGTTTTCTATACATGATTGGCAAATAAACCGATTTTGATGATATTTTAGAATCTCGGAGATGATTATGTATTAGAAAAATATATAATATACTTACACAGGCTGTATATCTGGTTCATATAATCTGAGAGCCTTAGGCCGAACCTTTTCTCGAGACATGTGTGTGTATGTCTTCACTTCCAAGCATTGTTTCATATACTGCACTATCTCCGAAACCTTTTTCGACACTTTTTTAGGATATAATTCTAAATCCACACGACCCAGTATCTGTATATGATGTTCAAATATCGCCTCTTGTGCTTCTAAATCGTTATAATTATCAAAGAATTCCTTTAACATCATTACCGCTGTAGATAGACTGCGTATTCTGAAACTATAGTCTATTTCAGTCGCTATTAAATCCCTGGCGGCCATCTTGTTGTCAACCGCCATTTTGGTACAGTCATGTTCCAATTTCAAAATCTTGATATCCCTATTCAAACGGAATGGCGGAACGACTTGCACTGGATTCAAGATGGAGGTGTTCGCGCTCAAATAAATTAAACCTCTTAGGAAATTTAATGCTGATGGAACGTAACGTTTTGATAGACAAGTATATTCTAGAATTAATGAAACTATGAACAAACCTCTAGATATTGAAACCGAGTCTCTGAAACGCGATAAACTTAATATTTCTGTCATGAAAATCAAAGATGGCGTCGTAACGGGATGCCGGAAGTCGGATGTCGGATACAGAATGGAAACTAATTTAAAAAATATTAACGTATTCAAATCAGGTACTTTTTTGGGGGAGCGTTTGAAGTTATCATGTTTCTCTTTAAGTAATTCGACTAGAAATTTTTTCGTTGATACTTTATTTAAATGAACTAAATCGTATAGATATGGGACTATTTTGTCGAAGATCAGAAATGATTTTATAACGTCGCTTTCTTCAGAGAGATTTGTGAATAGATCGTGTATGTATTGTAGGAGATGAGCGAATAATGTGCTCAAGAGTTCCTTATTATTCTGTGATAGACTGGGATCATAGCTCTTTATTAACTTCTGTATAGCCGAAGATTGTTGAGAAGGTGTCTTTCCAGACAATAGTTCCTGAAATACATTTTTTTACATTATAATTCATCCAACGAAATAAGATAAATATTGTAAACATTATAGAATTTCACGAAATTCCACTCAATAGATGAAATCAACAAAATTAGTATGACTAACCTTCAAATTATCACCCACAGTCGATTTCAAATCAAAGAAGGAACCCATTTTCTGATTATTTTCTTCGTTTTCTTCTTCCGATTCATCCGTTTCTTTTAAATCATCTAAATCAAGTTTTCTGTTCTTGTTATTTTGTGTACTTTCATCATCATCATCTTCTTCATCATCTTCATCATCATTTTCATCATCTTCATCATCATTTTCATCATCATCACTTAATTTTCCACTTTCATTTTCAGCGATACTTAATTTCTCGTCTCTAACAATATCTTCATCATCACTAGAACTATCACATTCATTTGATTCAGATATATTATTTTTATTCGTGCTATTGTTTTCATGTTCATTTGAACTTTCTGTATCATCCTTATATCTTTTATCAACTTGGGATATCTTTTTAGGCATAATCTCATCACTAAGTTTTTGTTTCTTACTATCTTGATTACTTTCACTATCACTAGATTCTTGAGATGCTAGTCTTTTCAGAGTTTGACCTTTTTTCGCTTCATCATGCTGTATTTCATTATCATCAACTTCATCGTTTTCATCATCTTCATCATCTTCATCATTTTCATCATCTTCATCATTTTCATCATCTTCATCATTTTCATCATCTTCATCATTATTTTCATCATTCTCATCTTCTTCATCAGACGTATCCGATATACCGTCATCGAATTTCTTTCTAGCATTCGGTACTAAAAAACACACAAAATTTAGTAATATTTTCCAATACTTTATACTTAAAATACAAAAATAATAGATTTTTTTTTCTAATATTAATTATTTAGACAGACCTGAGAAATCTTTGAGTACATTTTCAGGTACTAACGGCTTCCCATCTTTATCATATGCCAACATGAATTCCTTATTGTCATCTAGGTCGAAGTTGTCATCTAAATCGTCTGCGGATCTATAAATATATACATAAAATAATATTAAACTCACTAGATTTGACCTCTAACTTTGCTTGCATAATAGTTTATAAAAGCTATATTTAGTGCATTAGAAACACTTAGTTGTAGATATTGGCTTATTAAAAAGAAAACTTATATTTTATTGAGTTTTGTGAACTTTGAAATGTCCATACAAAACCATAGATAATACATTTCTTTTATCATACCTATGTTTTATAGTCTGTGTCCGTTTTGGCGCCTTTTCTTCTTCTGACAACATTCTTTCTTGTCTTTGCTTTTCTAATTCTTCAATTTTCTTTTTTTCTTCTTCCTCCAATTTTTCCTTACTCTTAAGAGCATCTGATGGCTGAAATTATGAAAACATTAATAGGATCTTTATCAAAAATATCCCTACTATAATAATATTATAAATGCGAAAGTAACTCTGTCTGTCTGTTACGCTTTCACGCCTAAACCACTGAACTGATTTTAATGAAATTTAGTACAGACATAGAGTTGACCTTGAGAAAGAACATAGGATAGTTTTTATCCCAGACTTTTGAAAAGTTCTCTTGGAAACGATATAACCGAACTCCACCCGGGCGAAGTTGCGGGCGGAAAGCTAGTATAAAATATATTTCTATAAAGTATTTTATGTGTAAATATAAAAAGGGTTTCTTTTAAGAAAATGAAGTTTTATTAACTTAATATATAATTCACTGTGTGTTCATTCAGAATGACATACTTTTTCTTCGGTCTTTCACAAAAATATGTCTATACATAGGGTTGCCATCTCGAAAATTTGGAAAACAGGACAAGACGCGTGAAAACCCCGGATTTTAGAGTTCGAAAGCCGGACATATCAACAAGATCTTTTAAACATATTCAATGTAATAGAAAACAGTTAAAAATGTCATAAATCACCTTTTTTATTCATTCATTATTTTAAAGAAGCAGAATATTACAATTTGTTACACATTGTTTATATTTATTTATTTATTTGATAGTAAAACATTATAATTTATATAAAACATATAGACTTAAATATAAATACATTTAAACCTTTCGAGCGATTTCCAGGGGCATCCACACTAAGCAAGCTTGTGTCGTGGATGCCTAAGTAAATAAATAAAAATAAATAAATCAGCTTTTTAAATTCTTAAAATAAGAAAACAAAACCTTAGGAAAATATTAAACAAAAACATATATTTAATGAATTAAAATCTGAAAAGTACCTACTTACTTAGACCATTCTAGTATTCAGTCTTACAATTTTCGAGGTAACTTTTTTATAGTTCTATAATTATTATCTGCTTTACTTTTAATCAGCAGTCATTTATATAACAAACTAGTTTTTGCCCGCGACTTCGTCCGCGTTAGTTTCGTCATTAGTAATATATGCAGTGGCGGCTGGTGAGTTATCGAACTGGTGGTTCACTTTACTAAAATATTGACAAAAACAACAATTGACATAAAATATGTTTATTTTTTGTACATTAAATCAATGCGACGACATTTTTCTGTAACGAAATGTTCTATCACCTTTTTATTAAAATCTGATTCCAGTTTCTGTCCAAATCGATTCTCCGCCAAAAATAATGCAAGGAAAACAAGAATGTATTAAGACGCTCACATCCACACAACCATTTCTTTCTATTATACATTTCACTTTTAAAACTTCGTATAAATGCTTTATTTTTCGATTTACACTCTTGTTTTAAATTTAAAAAGGGCCGTGGCGGCCCGGCCAATTTTATGTTCACTTTACTTTGAAAAATTTTGTTATTTTCTTTAATATAATCAATATTTATACTCATTTTCAACTAATAAAAAACACAGTACAGAATAAAAGTTCTATTATAGAAACGAAATAAAAACTAAAACGAATTACGGAAATAATTATAAACAATAACGAATTAACGCGTCCCGCATACAGTGAAAGTTGAAACAATACCAATAACGATTAACGAAATGACAATCATAGCACCCATCATTTCGGCCGGCCCCTTGCCGGCCGGCTCAATACGTCATACATCGGGTGCTCTCGGTAACCTTCGGCCGCTTCGTGCGGCGCGCGAGAACCGACTCGTTACTCGGTACATTTCTATGAACTATCTTTTGTCTCACGCGCCAGGCGTATTAATGCGTGTCTCATACAAGATGTATTAGCAGTCCTCGTGCACCCGCCGGAGCGCACGATATGAGTTTAGTAAAGCGCTCAAACTTTTTGACCATAATTGGAAATTAAATTTTTTATACTTTTTGTATGTTTAAAAAATAAATATTAAAATGGTAATTTAAAAATTAAGATGACATAATATTTTGTAATTTTTAAATATTTTGAATTGGTGGTTCAGCGCACGGGCGCACTTAAGGTACAGCCGCCACTGAATATATGTATAGCTGACCGGGCGAACTCTATTCCGTTTTAGAGGCCATTAATAATCAGGTTTCTCTTGTTTTAATCGAACAGAATGATTGACATATTAATTAGTTGTCAAATCTTATGTCAAATAAAACGTTTGTATGGGAAATAGAAAAGGGCTGTTTTTATGGTTTTCCCAGTAATGAATCAATTTTTTCCAGCTTTTATACCTTCCCTGAACCTCCACGAACATTTCAAGACTAAGATAAGATAAATCCGTTTAGCTGTTCTCGAGTTTTAGCGAGACTAAGGAACAGCAATCCATTTTTATATATATAGAAGATAGAAGATAGAAGATTACAAAATATACCAATTTTAGCAGAAAAGAAACTAAATTCAGTCTTCTTAAATATTTAACAATAAAACAGAACATTTTTAAAGTTTAGACCTACAGCAATGTAAGTTACATTATTAAAATTTTAGAACAAAATAATTAATCCTATACTCATTTTCATAAACTTAAAGTTTTGATCAACAACCATATTTTAAATAATTTTTACTCAATGAAAACAATCATAACTTCAACTACAAAAATAAAAAGCAAGTGTGCGAGCATTGTGCGTGTCTCGCGGGCGGCCCATTTTTTTTTTATTTATTTATTTTTCAAAACTCGGTCTACAAATGAAACCTTCCCCGGACGCTCCCCGGATGCCCTCTAAACTAGGACAAATCCGGATAAACCCGGACGGATGGCAACCCTATCTATACATAATAGCAATGTTATGTTACCTTAGTTTTACACGACAAAATATAAATTATATTTATGTATTAAATTTAACTTTACACCAATTATTTATAGAAGTAAAATAATATATTTCACTTAATACATGAAATATAATTATTATGCTTGTCTATGAACAAAACTATGGTCATCTTAAAATAATTAAGTTCTAAAATATTCTGCAAATTCACATTTTACGACACATATAAAAGTTTTTAAACTAACCAATATATAAATGAGTATTAAGAATTCTCATATAACATACAAAAATAGATTTTTCAGTTGTATAAGATCCATAAAATAAGTTGTTTTGTATGATATTAAAAAAAATTAAATATTGGCTAATAAAATATTTTGTATTTCATCTAACAACATAATATAGAAATAATATTATATTCAGTGGTGGCCTAGTGTTTAAAAGGCCCGCCTCTCATGCATGAGGGCGCGGGTTCGATCCTGGTAAGTACCAATGTGATTTTTCCGAGTCATATGTACTTTCTAAGAGTATTTAGACACCACTGACTAATGCATTCCCAAAAATTGATGTCAGGCAGGCGGCCGGTCATAAAAACAATTAGCCAAAACTATTCACAACATGTAAGGCAGACCCTGGCTAAAGCTGGGAAATTGCCAGGTAGAAGAAGATCTAACAACATAATTTTTGGTATTGTTGCACTGCAGCACATTTTCTCTTTTTTCCTTTATTTTTTGTGTAATTTTATTTATTGTATATTTTTTGTTTTTATTTGTGAATAAGGTTATTATTGTGTTGTAGTGCGACTTTGACTAATAAATATTTTATTATTATTATTATTATAATATATATGATGTATTAAATTTATACTATACAACTATCAAGTTACATACCGTCCCTCTCTTCTCAAATCTCAGTTCCCTCATAGTCTTGTCGTAATCCAAGCCTTTATCCTCTTTATTCAATAGTTTATCTATTATAGATTCTTCTTTATGTTGTTTAAAAACAACTGGTTGTAGATCTTTCCATTCGCTATCCAATTTCTCCGTTAAATCTAAAGTCTGTTCTTTTTCCTTCTGTTTCTCTGCTTTCCTTTTCTTTGAATCAGCTATCAATTGTTCTATCAGATCTTTATGTGACTTCGCACCATCTTTCGATTCAGATTTTGATAAAACACCACCACCGAAATGTCCTTCTGATACAAAATCATCTGTAATATACATAAAAAAATTAATAATATATGTATATACATACATATATGTTATTACTTAACATAGCCAATATTGTAAAGTATAATGTAGATTGTAGAGTAGTAAATTAAATATATGTATAAATAAATACTCACTTTGAAATAATTGTCTTGTAGGTTAATCTTAGAAAATAATTAACTTTTTACCTTCCTCTATAAACCATATTTTAAACTTATCCCTACTAATATTATAAATGCGAATGTAACTCTGTCTGTCTGTTACACTTTCATGCCTAAACCACTGAACTGATTTTAATGATATTTGGTACAGAGATGGAGTTGACCTTGACAAAGAACATAGAATAGTTTTTATGCCAGACTTTTGAAAGGTTCTCTTGGAAACGCGATATAACCGAACTCCACGCGGGCGAAGCTGCGGGCGGAAAGGTAGTATTACATATGTAGAATTCTAGAATGCTAGTTATTCAGATTTGAACTAACCCTGACAATATAATATACTACTGGTTCTTTGACAATAATATATTACAAAGGGTTAATGTGAGGCAGGCGGCCGGTCGTAAACACAATTAGCCAAAACTATTCACAATATGTAAGGCAGACCCTGGCTAAAGCTGGGAAATTGCCAGGTAGAAAAAGAATGTGTAAAAGTTAACTCACCGTCTAAACCTCCAAACTTTTTTCCATCATCTTCATCATCAGATGACCTCGGGTCATCAAACTTTTCAATCTGTTCCAATGTTTGACCTCTACAATCATAAAATTTTATATTACATACTATAAGGTTAATTAATTACAAAACATCTTTAGGTATTCAATATTTTTTTAAAGTATAATTCTTATACATTAGAGATTATTATAGAAAATATTTAAGGAGGCTCATGCGGAATAAAAAGACATAACTTGTTTTTAACAAACAACTAGTTATGTTTACAATTTAATACAATATCTTACAATTAGGTTGAATGTTACAAATATTATAGCGAGATTTAAGATATATTTAAATATTCATTAAAATAAAACTAATACTTTCAGATGAGATGAGATGAGAATTTAAAGACAAGACATTCACATCTTGTCTGCCTGTTATCATGGTTGTTGCAAAGTAACTTAAAATTCATGAGTATGTTGTTCAAAATAATGAAATATATAGTAATATGACAATATTAGTTTTATTTTAAGTTACAAAGGCTTTATATCCTACTAATATTATAATTGCGAAAGTTTGTGTGTGTGTATGTTTGTTATTTCTTCACACTCAAACGGCTGAACTGATTTTGATAAAATTTTGTATACAGGAAGCTGACGTCCAGGAATAACACATAGGCTACTTTATAACCCGGGGCGCAGCTAGTTATAGATAAAACATACCTATGTGTCAATATTTCATCATCAGCCAAGTTATAAATACTCTTTTTGCTATGTTGCCTTGACCTCTCGGCAGCGAATCTAGCTATCATGCGTTCTTCTGCTGAGAGCTGACTGTTTCTTTCACCAATACGACGGTCAATGAAGGCATTGGTTTTATGCATTATCTTCATTTCTGTTCCTAAAGTCTCCTTTCTCTGAGATAAGATTTTGTTTGTATCAAATCACTGTTTATTGATTTATAGATAAAGAAATTGATATTACTCATTTTATTGTCTGTTCATTTGTATTAAAACTAAAAGACCATTTAACTAAATATTCAATTAAAACACGAAATGAAATTTACCATCAGTATTGACTCAAAGTGATAATGTTATATTTTTTTACCTTTTGTATAGCCTTGGCACGAGACACACCTGGTAAACCTCGATCATGCTTAGATTTCTTTCCTAAAACTTTAAGTTTCTCCCTATTTATATGAACTTCGAATGGGTTCAACTTCTTTTTATTTGCGTCTGCATTTCGCTTCTGATGCACTTTGTCCGCCAAACCCGCGTTCCTCTTATTCTTAACTTTAGCCATTATTATTAACTGTTAATAAAACAACAGAATTGTGATAAAATAACTATTATTTTAAGGTTACTTAGTACATCAACATTCAACATAAATTTCACATGGTTTTGACAAATGACAAGAATAGCAAGATTTTATTGTCAATTGTCGTCATCTTCCCACAAAAGGGTGCATTCGCACTTTATTTAAATAAATAATTTATAAAATCGCAATATTAAAGTCCATGGTTGAAAAAACTTCTAATATTTTTTTTAAAGAAATACAAACTTTGCAACCTTAAATTTTATCATTTCACTCATATTGTGTTTAATAAAAATGGAGAGAATTACCATGTATCATATTGTAAACGATTATCATATAATACAAATAATTAAAAGATTTTCTATATGTAACGTTTTATAAATAGAGAGGAACTTTTATAACAGCACTTGTTAAAGCGAACGCAGATTTTTCTAATCAACACACTGCTTCTATTGGTAAACAGAGTGCTCCGAACATTACCGAACCTCGGTTCGGGTGATTTCGTGAGAATGCCGTGTAGCATCTAGCGCGTAGGTATATTATTGTGTGGCTTTGTTTCCTTGTGTAGCTGGCGGATTCTACTTGTCCTAAGAAAAATGGCAGATGTTAGTAAAGAAGATCTTGAAAGGGAAATCGAAAGTAAGTTTGTTTAATAATTATTTATTTTACATACAATATCCTTAATATATATAAATTTTGAAGCCGTAATCATGAAAATACGTATACACAAAGGCTATCTGGCCGGGGGTACATAATGGCTACCTATTAACGTTTCAGAGAAGTTTATATTTTCTGAACTTTAATTTTAAATATCTCTGATAGTACGATTTCCGTACAAAAATTTTTCAAGTGAAAGATGTTTGGTGGATATGTGCGGAGTTTTTCGCGCGATCGGCTTATATTCTAATGTCCTTAATAGGTCTCCTCACTGATGGTTTATTTTTATGCAACGCGTTTCTTTGAACATCGAAGTCCCACGTATGTCAGGCTGAAACGGCTTGCTCTAATAACTGTTTAATAATTCAATACAACGCGCATCTCTGTTTTGAACAAATATTGTATGAAACATTTTGCTAATTAAAGCATAAATACTAATATATTGCAATAAATTGTACATGTTTTGTCGATTTCTTTAGCGACGCCATGTTGCGCAGAAGCGTTCTAAGTGACAATAGTCAGAATATAAGAAAATATATTTTTTAAATTTGTAAATTCCATATTTAAAACCAAATACTATTTTAAAATAACAGAACAAAAAATATAATTATAATTTCTTGACCTTTCTGCTATATTCTTTTTATCATTAAATCGTAAAATCCTTTATCATTAATGGCGGGAAATACTTATAAGTTACCAGCTCATAACACTACACTAGAAAGTATTTACGTATCTTAAGTTTATTTAGATAATTAATGTTCACTTTGAAGTTATAGGTAACTACTTGAACTCAAAAATTATGTATGTATACATATATACTCTTAAGAAAAATTATCGAAAATTATTACAAAAAACCATTATTACTAATTAGTTAAGCAAGAATTTCAATAAATATTTCATGATCACCATTTTTTTTCTCCAGAGATCCTTAAAAATGCTAACCTCGCAAACACATCTACTAAGAAAGTCATTCAAAAGTTGGAGAAAGTCTTTGACACAGATTTGTCGGAGAAAAAGAAGATTATTGATCAACTAGTTATGGATTACGTGAACAGCAAGAATTCTGAGGATGAATATGATGAAGAAGATGATGATGAGGTAAATATATACCAAAATAATTGTATTTATATGCTTATTAAACTTTATATGAGAAACTATATTAATATTTGTAATTTTAGGAGGAAGAAGAAGAAAAAAAGCCTGCAAAGCGAAGCGCGCCTGCCAGTAAGGCTAGCAATAAGAAATCACGAAAAGATAGTTCTGATGAAGACGATGATGCTTCAGGAGATAGCGAGTCAGAGGTGAGAATTAAAACGAAATATACTAAAAAATATGATAAAACTAGCTTGAAAATTCATTTTAAAAGTGAAATAACTTAATAAAGTTAATTTAAAGCAACTTTTTTGTATTAGATATACATAAATGCAAGGTTCAATCTTAAAGACACTGCTAAAACACTAAAAAACTTCTGCAAACTATATATACTTACTGGAAAAATACTTGCCATATATTATATTTAAATAAAAAATAACTTTTTATAATTGTTGGTATATAATTAATACTTTTTAAGTGTCTACTAATAACTATAATACAAAAGATTCTTCTTTAAATTTGGGTCAATGTTAGTTTTGTTTTCAAGTATTAACTCTTAGATTTTGGTAATAACTTATTAAGATTTAATATCTTTCTAAATAATTCTCTTTTTTATCAGGAAGAGAAAAAGCCAGCTCCTAAGAAAGGTAAGAAGAAGAAGGGTTCGTCAGATTCTGACAGTGATTGGGGCAAAAAGAAAGAAAAGGCGGCAAAACCTAAGAAAGGTGGTGGCCGGAAAGGTGGAGGTTACACCAGAGCTTACAAACTGTCCCCGGCTCTATCAGAACTCATGGGAGAAACTGAAATGCCGAGACATGAAGTAGTCAAACGAGTTTGGACAATCATTAAAGAGAAGAATCTATATGATCCCAATAACAAACAGTTTGCTATCTGTGACGATGCTCTGTACAAAGTGATAGGAACAAAACGTTTCCGCACCTTTGGCATGATGAAGTATCTCAAAACGCATTTCCTCGATGATTAATTTACTATCTATCGTTATAAAGTCCTTCGTTAACTAAACCCTATTTTTCTATATACATTTGACATTTCATTTCTTATATCCGATATGTTTGTGTGTTCATTTAAATAAGATTATATGCTTACATATGTATTGATAGATATTTTAAATGTAAGTTTGAATGTCCAGTTTCAGGAACATCTTGTAGGTTAAGTCGGTCATCAGTCGAGTGTTTGTTAGATGTTTGTGAAACTCGATCATTTCTGTTAAGATATTCTAAGGTGTGTAATTTTTAACACTTGTTCAGAGCTATCTATGAATTAAGTTAGTTCACATAATAAAGAAATTGACGAGTAACAGAAATTTAAAGTAAATTAAACCAGATTTTTTTTACTTCTCTTATGATCTCTGATTGCTTATGTTAAGTTGTAACCATACTTTTGTATGCAGAATTAAGTGTTAATTATTATGGAATGTATAGTTATATTGTCCTAGTGTATGGATGAAAGGCAATAATCTAGTTCGCTAGATTCAAAGGTTGTAAGTTTATCCCAGAGGGATATTTCTATGATAATAAAGACTTAACTACATAATGAAGTGTTTTATTAAATTATTGAAGTGAAACTTCTTATGCGACTAGCAACATGGTTGCGTTAAACTTTTAACGTTTCTCCGGAGGGGTACAAAGGGAAAGAGCCAGAGGTAATGTGCGGCGCTCGAACGGATGAGAGCAATCAATAGTGACTTTTGAGTAATATTAATAAAGTTTATCTTAAAGAAATACTACAAAATCCTCAAATATCAATTCCTACCCCTTCCTGTTCGTTCCAACTTTATGAAGTTCTACTTCTTCCTCTCATAGGGGCTCCACGCACAATTATTATTTTTTATCATTTAGTCCCATTATTAAAACAGGATATAGAATTTGTGTAAAACAAAAAATGTCATGGCTGCATTCTAAAGCTTCAAGCTAAAATAAACAAAGTGCAGATGTTTTAAAATTGAAAGTATTCTCAAACACATAAGTGTTTCTGAACTTATGACGTATACGGTATTCCTAACATCTAGATACATTTAAAGCTAGGTCAGAATAGGTGTAGTCATTTAAATATATAGTTACCAGTCTTTTTATTCTTTTATAAATTTCCAATTAATCGTGTACTTCTCTTAAATACTTTTTACAGAGGTCCGTCATTAAAGATTTTCCATAACATGGTTATTACTTTAGAAACAACCAAAAATTTAGTAATATAGGAAAAACCTTAAAGGAAAAATATGAATTGATACAGATTAGTAAAAAACAGATTTTAGCGCCTTCTTATCTTTAAACGTCTGTAGACCCATCAAATGGCCTTTTTTAGACGTTTCCATCACCTAGATTCTAGAACGGAGGGCGTTCCCGTTAATCCGCAATAATAAAGCATCCATACATGCAAAAGAAAAATTATCAATCGAAAACAAAATGTTATTTCTTTAAAAAAATCCATAAAAATGTTAAATTGACATGTAATAAAAACACTCCGTACACACATATGTACTTAAAGAACGGCATCGTCGCAATTTATTTATGAATGACGGGCCGCGTATGCGGCGATCGACTGCTCTACGATAGTGTGGTCTATCGATAGGCTATCGATCGATAGTCTATCGATTTTAAATCGATATTAAAGGCAAAGCCCATAGTTACTATAATTTATGGATAGTAGAGTCATATGTTAATACTATCGATACTATTAATCAAGCATTATACGCAACATAGACGATTTCATATTTTTTGTAAAGTACTCTTGCGAAGCTGGGGTAGGTACCTTGTTTACATGTAAAATACAGTCAAGTTAATGTCATTAGTTTGTTTTCAATATGTTGAAACCATGTTTTAGTACATTGAAGGTTATTAAATGTAAACGTTTTATTAAAGAACATGAACAGACTGACTCTTTGAATTTGAACAGACTGATTTTTTTTTTATTTCTTATGAATTGTTTTGACATTTATTAATGTGGTTGAAAGTATAAAGAAGTACTTTGGAATATTTAATAACCACTATTAAATACAAGTATACTCTCTATTACTTTCATTTTATACATCACTTTGAATTTATTTGCAATACTATCGAATAATTCCTGACAATCGATAGTTCAGAAATGTAACTATCGATAGTGTTAGCACTTTCAATAGAATTGTTTAAGGTGTTCCATCGATACTATCGATAGTATTAACATGTGACAATACTATCGATAGCGCTATCGATATTCTGAATAGTTTTCGAGGTCAACTATCGATGGTTCTGCAACACTAATCTACAATAATAAAGGGTTCCCCCCGCCCCCTCCCCCGAACGTCCGCATAATTTTATTCTGTAGTAATCTCACGCGCTGACGGACGTCCATTATTCCCTCATTACTACGTCTACGTATTTTCGTGTGAAAGATGCCGCGTTATCAGTTCAGTGCGCGGGAGTATGTGAACATGGTGCTTCTTTATGCTGAATGTAATTATGATGGCGCATGTGCTCTGAGGACGTATGCTGAGAGGTACCCTAATGCACACGTGCCGCGGAATTCTCGCGTAATATTGAGTGCCCTCGATCGTATGCGTAACAATGAGCCGATAGTGCCGCGTCAGTCTGGTGGCCCGCGACCCGTGATTACAGTGAGGCAGGAAGAGAACGTTATAAGGCATTTCGAGGAGGAGCCCGGTTCAAGCACTAGAAGAGCCGGCCGCCTGTACAATATGAGCCACGGCTCAGTCTTTAAAATTTTAAAGAAAAACAAGGTAAGTGTTGTTGCTAAAACTAAACATAGGTACATTTAAAATGTTTATTTTACTGTTAACAATCCGACTACGTGTCTATATATTTAATTTGCCGCCATTATAAAAGTCGCCGCTCGGCATGTTTTGGTGAATGCGTTATATTATTTTGTGCTTATTGTTCTATGCAGATATATTTATTTTAATCTATTAGTGATATCTATTAACGAGTTCAAGGGAACGGCTGCTGTTACATAACATACTGTATATATAATAATATTGTAATATTTTAGGAGGACACAAGAAAAGAAAAGCTATCAAAGCGCCACGCGGCTGCCAGTAATGCTAGCAACAAGAGATCACGAAATGATAGTTCTGATGAAGACGATGATGCTTCAGGAGATAGCGAGTCAGAGGTGAGAATTAAGACGAAATACAGTGGACCCCCGGTAATCCGGCACCCCCTGTAATCCGACATGATCAATTATTTGTTTTTTTGTAAGTTCTATAGCATTAATGACGTTGATTTTATAATAAGACGTAAGCTCTCTATTGTTGTCTAATTTACTAAATTTGACATACATAATGAAGTATGATTTGTACTTCAGAGTACATGTAAGTACATATGTATGTATAATATGTAAATATGTATATATATTATTGAATCTGTAATTTTTCGGATTACAAGGTACTCTTTTGTATAAAAATCCGGATTATAGGGGGTCTTAGGCAGTACTCTATAATCCGATGAATTCGATAGTCTGACACTGCCCTGCAAAATGTTTATCGGACTACTGGGGGTCCGCTGTATACTAAAAAATATGATAAAACTAGCTTGAACATTCATTTGAAAAATTCATCTAAAATTCTAAATGATAGTTGTGAACATTTGGACCCTTTTAGGGAATCACTCAAAACATTTTGTTATAAGTTTTTGTTCAGCGATAAATTCAATAAATAATTTTTACATAAACAAAATATAGGTAATGATCTAATTTTTAATATAATGAACCAAATTTTTATATATAGAGATTTTAATAATTTTTACCAATAAGTTACTAATATAAGTTTTTAATATAATGTAATAAATGTTTTATAAACTTCCTAATTTTTGCATGCTGTATCTGCCTGTATTTCTTTTTACCCAATATTGTATTAATGTAATTATCACTGGTAGATCTTAAATAAAATAAAATAGAAATAAAAAGGGAAATAATTTAATAAAGTTAATTTATACCAACTTTTTTATATTAGTTATACATAAATGCAAGGTTCAATCTTAAAGGCGCTGCTAAAACATTAAAGAACTTCTGCAAATCAAATATACTTGCCATATTAAGTTAAAAAGTCATCTTTTATAATAGTTTATATATAATTAATTCATTGTACAACTAGATTTGGCTTAAAAATTTATTTTTTTAGTAATACTCTCATAGTTGTAATACAAAAGAAACTTCTTTAAATTTGGTTTCACATTAATGGAACCACTTTTTTATATTACATTTGGCAGATTTAACATCAGTACTTCAAAATAAACCTTTTTTTTTTCAGGAAGAGAATAAACCAGCTCCTAAGAAAGGTAAGAAGAAGAAGTGATCATCATATTAGGCCAACGACTGGGGCTAGAAGAAAGAAAAGACGACCAAACCAATGAAAGGTTACAAACTGTCCCCGGCTCTATCAGAACTCATGGGAGAAACTGAAATGCCGAGACATGAAGTAGTCAAACGAGTTTGGACAATCATTAAAGAGAAGAATCTATATGATCCCAATAACAAACAGTTTGCTATCTGTGACGATGCTCTGTACAAAGTGATAGGAACAAAACGTTTCCGCACCTTTGGCATGATGAAGTATCTCAAAACGCATTTCCTCGATGATTAATTTATCATCTATCGTTATAAAGTCCTTCATTAACTAAAACACACCTGCGTACCAAGCACGATAGATATATTATATGTTTAATGTTGTGTTTATTATAATACTAGAAGACCTGGCGAACTTCGTATTGCCCTATAATCAAGAAATATCTATTACGTTTTTTTATTTATATTTTTGGAGTTTACCTGTAAGCCATAAATCTCCGTGTTTTGAAGTGCGACAGAATGATTGACATATTAGTCAGTTGTCAAATCTAATTTCAAAAAAACGTTTGCATGGGAAATAGAAAAGGGCTGTTTTTATATTTTTCCCAGTAATGAATCAATTTTTTTCACCTTTTATACTTTTCCTGAAACCCCACAAACATTTCAAGACTAAGATAAGATAAATCCGTTCAGCTGTTCTCGAGTTTTAGCGAGACTAAGGAATAGCAATCCATTTTTATATATATAGAAGATTATGTATTATTTTATCTGTATTGTTATGTTTAAATTTAACTATGTTAATCCCTACTATAATATTATAAATGCGAAAGTAACTCTGTCTGTCTGTCTGTCTGTCTGTCTGCTACGCTTTCACGCCTAAACCACTGAACTGATTTTAATGAAATTCGGTACAGAGATAGAGTTGACCTTGAGAAAGAACATAGGATAGTTTTTATCCCAGACTTTTGAAAGGTTCTCTTGGAAACGCGATATAACCGAACTCCACGCGGCGAAGCTGCGGGCGGAAAGCTAGTTTAATATAATTGTTACCACTGTCAGTACCTCAACATCAGGAGATCATTGAAAATCAGTGTAGAAGCAACATTGCTTCTATTTTTTAATGAGTGGTTTTTCCTTTTGGTTAAATTACTGTGCACACTTATTATTATTCTTATTGATTTTTAACATTAATATTTGTCCTGTTGTAGTTGTTATGTTATTTTAGTTTCCTTTTTTGTATACATAGGATAAGTTTTTATTTTGTTATTTGTTTTGTATTGGTGTAATATTTTAACCAATAAACATTTACTATTATTATTATTAAAACCTATTTTTCTAAATACATTTGACATTTCATTTCTTTCTCTTTCTTTCTCTAAATAAGATTATATGCTTACATATTTATTGATAGATATATAAATGTAAGTTTGAATGTCCAGTTTCAGTAACATCTTGTAGGATAAGTCGGTCATCAGTCGAGTGGTTGTTAGGTGTTTGTGAAACTCGATTATTTCTGTTAAGATATTCTAAGGTGTAATTTTTAACACTTGTTCAGAGCTATCTATGAATTTATTAAGTTAGTTCACATTATAAAGATATTGACGAATAACAGAAATTTAAAGTAAATTAACCCAGATTTTTACGTTATACCAGCCATTACGGCTGAATTCTAAGACTTCAAGCTAAAATAAACAACGTTCAGCTGTTTTAAAAGTTAAAAAGTATTCTCATATATGATACACAAAAGGGTTTCTGAACTTGTATGTATAACGTCTGGATACCTACGTCTAGTACTAGTCTGGAACAGATGTAGTCACTTCTTTAAATATATATTTACTAGTCTTTTTATTATTTAATAACTTTCCAATTAATCGTCTACTTATATGCGTTTTTTTTTTAAAGAGATCCGTCAAAGATTATCCATAACATGATTATTACTCTTGAAACAACCAAAAATTTTATAAAATTATAGGAAAAATCTTAAATTGAGTTGATACAGATAATAATAAAAAACAGAATTTGGCGCCTTCCTATCCTTAAACGTCTGTAGACCCATCAAGTAGCGTATTTAGAACGATATTTTCAAGCAGTCAGATTCTCCATCAATTTCTATGACAATCTCCATGGCAACCGTTATAAATCAATTATTGTCTTAATTTTGGTCCTGTACACGATTATTTTGTATTAATTATATATTTTATAATTAATTATTATAAATAAAAAATGGCATGCAACGAAAACGTTATAAAAAACATGTCAAACGAAATCACACGTAACTGCCAATCACAGAACGTCGTGGTCGATCCGGATTTTGTGGTATATTTGATTGAGCTGTTGTTACTGAATCCTAAATACGGAAATTTGTTCTCTAAAACTATAAACAGGAACAATCTAGAATATTTCGTCAACGAATGCGTTACGATGTTAACGAGTAAGTACAAATTACAGTTAAAAGAATTTGTGGCGTTCATATCATTATTATTTTGAAGATAAATATCTACAGGTAGCGAAACGTCCATAAACACGTTAAAAATGCAATACATCATGCAGACAAACTACGATAAGTTACAGAATCTTATCGACAAGCATTTAGAATCCATAAACCAGTGTTTGAGACCCCTCGTCAATGAAATTTTGGATGAGGACGTCGACTTTGAAGACGAAGCGGCGTTCAAGAAGCTGTTTAGAAAAATATCTATTTATATAATACTATCCAGCGGGCTCGGGAATCCTGGGTCGATAGTGGTATGTACGAAAAATAATACATTATACACTACTTGTATTCTATTACTACTACTAATGGGTGTGTATGGCTCATTTACGCAAAACTTTGTGAATAAATTTTAATCGAACTTTACTATAATCGTTTCACAACATAGAATATAATTTATCCCATAATTTAATTTATATATCCAACAAGTATAAAGATGTATCGTGTATGATTTCGCGATGTAGATTATAATATGTCACTACCAGTCAGCTGTCTTTCCCATTGTTTAAACATTCTATACTATTCCCATTCACACTAATTTCGGAATCCCAGCGAGAAAAGTCACAGGCGAACATTAGTTCTGTACATGTATCTATTATAAATTAATAAATGTATTTTTTTTTATATAGACATTAAAGGAAGGCATGGCTAGTTTAGAGAGTGTATTTTCGCTTGAAGATCTAAAAGTGTTCGTCGCTCTACCGCGATGTGAAAAATTGGTTCAACTGAACGAAATAATGCAGATAGCTTCTGGAGTGAGGCTGTTTAACAGAGACTGTAAGAAAGGGGGAGAGGGAATACCTGACCGTACGTACGAGAAGATTTAAATAGTTTTATATACTTTATATACATTTATATCATAATATATATATTTATATCATGAGTCTATTTTCTAAATTATTTTCAAAACAATAGCTAAGAATATCTTTGGTAATTTCCTAAAAGATTGCTTTAATATGTATGTTTCTGTGTAATATAAAATTTCTTTACTAAATACGCCGAGTTTCGAGTTTTTCAATAATAATTCTTACTCAGATCTACTTAGATTTACGAATGATAATTGGTAGTGTACACGTATGATGTTTAAACGCGTTCAGAAACATTAACTTACATAATATAATTAAATCCAAAAACATATCTTTAAAAAGTAATAAAACTTATATATTATCTTATATATAAAATTCTCGTGTCGCGGTGTTAGACATAGAACTCCGAAACGTCTTGACCGATTCTCATGAAATTTTGCTAGCATATAGAGTAGGTCTGAGAATCGACTAACATCTATTTTTCATACCCCTAAGTCATAAGAGTTGTCCACCCTTCAAATTTTTCTTTAATTCTTAGACATTTTTTAATTTCTTTATTTTATTTTTGTCGCCTCAAAAATACACAACCCTAAATTTTTAACCTTTCATTGCCAACCCTTATTTTTTATATGCCAAAACAACGTGTGCCGTATTAGCTAGTTTATATATATTTAAAGATGACCTTAAAAAGGTCGCTGGGTCTCACTGGATGCGGAAGGCAGAGGAATGAGTGTTATGGCGCGTGTTGGGAGAGGCCTATGTCCAGCAGTGGACTGCAATAGGCTAAATGATGATGATGATGATGATGATATATATTCCAGTACCTTTTAATTTGGTGGATGCTGGCAAGGCGTGCCTCGCTTCATTATCAAATTCACTAATAGCGGTAATGCAGAGAGTTAACTCACTCACCACGGCCATAGCGGACACTATCAGTATACAAGACGAGACTGGAAACATTCTTATAGACATACCTACCGGTAGTGAGTTGACCGAGTGAGTCGTTATATTATACTAGCTGCGCCCCCCGTTTTTCCCGCGATTTCAGGAATGTAAAGTAGCCTATGTGTTATTCCTGGACGTCAGCTTATGTATACAAAATTTTATCAAAATCGATTCAGCCGTTTGAGCGTGACGAAGTAACATACACACACTCACAAACTTTCGCAATTATAATATTAGTAGGATATTTGTTTGAAATGAAGAAACATTAAAGCCTATATGGTAACGCCACTGTTTGATAAAATGAGTTCTAAGACTTTCGCGAGTACTCATTTAAATTAAACTAATATTTTCCGATTACTACGCATTCTTATTTTTATATCTTTGAATGAAGATTCATATCTCGTCTGCCAGTGATACAAAGTAACCGAAACGTCGGATTAAGAAATATTTAAAAATGATATAATACGCATTTTTAATCTGAAAATATTAGTTTCATTTAAATGCTTATTGCTTGATATACTCATTTGTATTTTCTCGTTTGTACAAGTGCTCCCAGGTATATGTGCTTTAAACAGTATTTAAACAAATTCTTCTGACCTAAAACACAGATTGTAATTTAAATTAATTCTCTTCTGTACTACCTTAGTTTAAATTTTCTTTCTTCGTTATACTATAACTTAAGATTTATAAAACTTGAATAATAGTATTAACATGGACAATATCAGATTATATTCACTTGCAAACCATAGTTTCATAATAACTTTGATTTCCTTGTAATAAGTAAAGCTAAATAATTTATCAAAAACTTAATAAAATGTTATTTTTCTATAGAGACGATTACAAAGAAATTTTCGAACTACTAGCGTTTAACCGCCAATACGAATTGTTTATACGTAAGCTGCTGTCAGATGTCGAGTCTATGGTTGAAAATGGCGACAGATGCGTCGAAAAAGTCAAAATTGTTTTGGAAGAATTACATTCAGCGGTCAAATATAAAGCTGCTGTACCAGTTGTTACAGTTTTTGTAAGATATTAAATAATATATATATGTAATTGTTTTGTTTTTAATAGTGTTTGATTGAAATAATAATTTCAGCCGTTATTCACGAAGCTTTGGGAAGTATGGCGTTCTATGCAGAACGTCATGTATTTAATGTCAACTGTGAATCGTTTGATGTCTATTTTGGGGAATATTCAGGATCAAATGAAGATACCTTACAACTTGTTGGAGAAAATGCTTGAAGGAAAACATGTGGTCAGCGATCAGGACAGAATGAGCAGCAAAGTTAGCATTACGGAGAGACTGTCTTTGGGCTCCTTGAAGAACTACGTGGGTTATAACGATAGCTTCTCTATCAATGAAAAACATGTACAGGTATGATACTCATCGACTTAACTAATGGACATGCCTTAGAGATGAGAATTGTGGCACTCAAAGAAAGAGAGGAAACGAAGTTTATCTATCTTTACCTCTCTCAAATTTATATGCCGTGCTTGTAATGAAAACTGAGCGCCAATCTTCTATGAGGAAAGAGATAGTACTAGACCGAAAGTATAGGCCATCTCTCTCACTCTTTTCAAAAAAAAAAGTTACTGCAGATTATACGCGTACGGCAGGTCCATTAGATGATTGTACTTTGGATTTATTGTCAGTGTTTTTTAATGGAAATCTTGTATAGCTTTTCTCGCGACTTCTTTCCTAGGGACATATATTTTTTACTTGATATCACTTAAATAAATATCGACATCAAAACCAAATTTTATATAAAGATTTGTTACATAATAATACTAGGTGAAATTTAGATTTTTTGATTGGATAAAATTTGCCTGATCTACCATACTTACATTCTCGATCAAAGTAAAAGTGAATAGGTTTTTAATGAGATACATTTTCTCTTATCATGAAACGAGATTATAGGCACTCACTCTCCAATTGTTATTAAAAAAATGATTTTTTACTTCATTTTAAACGATTCCTATAAAAACGAAATTATTTACGACCAAACCATACGACATAAAGTTATTAATCATTAAAAGAAAGAAATAAACATTATAGTTAACTTGATAGACGAAATTATAAAATTTAATCCCAGTTTCTAGGATTCTGTGCGCTCTGTCTGAGTGTCGGCGCGTTAGTACCAAGTAACATGAGAGTGGGACTCATTAAGAACAATAACACGCGCTACGGGTTCTGTAGCGTCAAAATGGCGGCGAGATTCAGTAAGGAACCACAGAGGTGAGGGTTTATATGTTTAAATGTTTAAAACAAACCAATAACTAAGGATTATAACAATATTGGGGATAGTGCAAATTAGCGTAAATATTTAGTGTTTAATTTATTACTAGCTTTCTGTGGTCTGCCCGCAGCTTCGCCCGCGTGGAGTTCGGTTATATAGCGTTTCCAAGAGAACCTTTCAAAAATCTGGGATAAAAACTAAACTATGTTCTTTCTCAAGGTCAATTCTATATCTGTACCAAATTTCATTAAAATCAGTTCAGTAGTTTAGGCGTGAAAGCGTAACAGACAGACAGACTATCGCATTTATAATATTTGTAGGGATTGTGAAAAAAATAATTTTAAAGTCGTTAATTTAGAAAACATTTCAGCGTAAACTTTTTTCTGATAATTTGCTTCCAATGTAGATATGCGGAATTATACAATGATAGTTACGCGGATTTGGACTATACCCGATATGTAGAATATTCTTAAACTATTAGAGGAATAAAAAACTTAAATGCTTTTTTAAGTATCCATAATGAGATTAACTTAGTTTTAAACGTAAACATAGTATATTAATTACAATAAAATATATAAATTATACCTATAATTAGATTGATTTTAGTTTTTATCCATCCATAGAAAGATATAATGTTTGTAGGTACATCAACGAAGTGTTGGATTTCGCTCGCAACAACCCGCACGTCATAAATCTACTTAACATTCTACCGGAAGTCAGTAGCGTGCGGACCATAGACCAACTCGTTACTAAAGTGTATCCAAAAAGTAAGAATTATATCCCTACTAATATCCCTACTAATATTATAAATGCAAAAGTAACTCTATCTGTCTGTCTGTTACGCTTTCACTCCTAAACCACTGAACTGATTTTAATGAAATTTGGTACAGAGATAGAGTTGACCTTGAGAAAGAACAGGATATTTTTTTTCCCAGACTTTTGAAAGGTTCTCTTGGAAATGCGATATAACCGAACTCTACGCGGGCGAAGCTGCGGGCGGAAAGCTAGTAGATCATAATAATATAATTTTTTGAAACATATGCTATTAGTTTTTGTCGTAGTTGAATTAATAATGATGAGAGATAAACATTTTAGAATTATATTTATTTCATTGCACTTATTCTATATTAATATGTAAAAAATAAAACATACATGTGTATGATTTTTCTATTTTTTTATTTCATTGCTGTATTTAATATTGATCGTATATAATTTCAGCGAGAATCTCCGACAAAGACGTCCAGACAGAAACACATCCTATAGATAGTTATATAGAAAAGAATTACTCTTGGAACCTTTGGGAATGGAAACGAAGAGCTTGTCAGTGGGTAAGTGTTGTTGAATTTTAAAAAATTTAAAGCCCCAAGCCCATATATTTTCGATGTATATATTATTTGTATTGTATAGTCCATATTTCTCGAATCCTTCGATACTTTTTTATTTCATTAAATCACTTTACCGTCTCAATACTCGGGTACATGTAATCTTCTCTGTACAAATACTGATCACTCCTTTAAAGGATTGGCAATTGAAATTTACGTTATTTAAATACTCTCTACGTTATGTGACGTACGATGAAGTGTTTATATTTTGTAATATTTCTGAGCATTAAATACACATAATTCTTATAATAACGCTAACATTATACATATATAAATCATTTTTTTTTAAATAATGGAACCGACCCCACCAAATGTGGGGAGAGGCAAAGAAGAAGTATTTGAATAATGAAACATTTCGTTTTAAGGGTTGATATAAACAATAATTTGACTTCCTAATACAAACGTGTACCTATATGACATAAACATGAATAAAATATTAAAATTTCTCACAATATTAAACTTACAGTTCTTCCATAAAACGTCACCAATTCATTAGCATATTATAAAAATGTTAGTTATATTCTAAGGTTACCATTCTAAGCAGAAGGTAAATTTTTCATATATTAATAATGAGATCTACACCTTCCCCGGATACTCATTTAAATGAAATTTAATATTTTTTCGAAATACTCGAATATTTTATTATTATTAAAAACTACATACTTACTCTCGACGACAACTTCAAAGTTAATATTAGTTTCATTTAAATAAACTAATATAATTCTTATATTTACATAAGTAGAAAAAAAAAGTTGTGTTTGTTTAATAGAAAATACTTTATTTCCATGCCGTGATAACTTATAATTGAAACAACGCTTAGCTAAAAATGTAAAATAAATAAATAAAATAAATAAATAATTACCTTTATTTTAAAACTTGTAGGAGGGCGTTGTAAGAACAGGAGGGCCTTCATGGGAACTCATACTTTGAAAGGGATAAAGTACAGTCTATTCAATACGACACCAACTCAATCGAAACACTAGATATAACTATCACTTCGATACACAGCGATTCGTCACGAGCGCGGTGCGCGGGCGTCATCCCGAACGAAACTGTATAATAAAGATGGCCGCCCACGCTACCATCGACAATGACGCTTCACTAGGCTAACCTCAGACAGCTAAAAGTCAACCTGACGTATGATTTTTGACGGATGCGCCGTCACGGCCGGACTGACATTCGACCGTCCTCGGGCGGTTCTCGGATCAATGAACTACAGTTGTGTCTATTCCGTTCGGCATCCTGACAAACGACTAGTTACAATCATCAAAATGTGCTATGATACTTAAGACGAACATCACGTAACAATTAAGCCGGACGACAACGCCTTGTCACTTAACAGCATGTAGGTTAACTGTTCACAATTAGTAGGTACTATTGGACAGGTCGGTCCTTTGGTGGATGTGACCCGGACGACAACATTCGTCTTACCACGATACTCAAAGTATTCAGAACAAGTCAGCCAACGTAAATGGATCTGAACCGGACGACAACATTCGTCTTACTACCGTCTGCAGAGCATCCAGAACAAGTCAGCCAACGTAAATGGATCTGAACCAGACGACACCATTCGTCTTACTACAGTCTGCAGAGCATCCAGGACAAGTCAGCCAACGTAAATGGATCTGACCCGGACGACACTATTCGTCTTACCACAATCTGCAGGGGTTCCAAGACAAGTCAGCCAACGTAAATGGATCTGACCCGGACGACACTATTCGTCTTACCACAATCTGCAGAGCAACCAGGACAAGCCAGCCAACGTAAATGGCTCTGACTCGGACGACAATTTTCGTCTTACCACAATCTGCAGAGGTTCCAGGACAAGTCAGCCAACGTAAATGGATCTGACCCGGACGACAACTTTCGTCTGACCAATCTGCAGAGCATCATCACACACATATCAGTGAACAATGATCGAGACGTAGACTCCAATGACCTAGCCCCATCATCTCCACTACTTATACTCATGTGAGTGAACGATGACCCGGACATAGACTCCACCGAGCTAGTCCGTCCATCTCCACTAGACAAACTCATGTGAGTGAACGATGACCCGGACATAGACTCCACCGAGCTAGCCCGTCCATCTTCACAACCTGATCAAGCGTCGACCGGACGTGGACTCCATCGAGCCAGCCCCTGCACGCTTTGATCCATCACTACTAGAAACATCGGCCGCATCAGCCAGTTCCATCGCCACCTCAAACACACCAACTCAAACTTACACAACTCATTTATGGTTTATCAATGTTGGAGGCCATCAGAGCTACTCACTTTCATCATCTGATAAAGCTTCGTTTCCATTCTCTCCACTCCATGACCCGCCGTCTCGGCCTCCTCATTACCTAGTTCAGTGGATATGTCAACTAACCCTTCAAAGCCTCTGGGTACTGCGCGCAAGTTTTCATGAGAGTATTTTAAAGTGTGATTAGATTCATCGGTATGTTTCAGTTCGTACCTATAGTTGTCTAGAATTTTAATTACGATAAAAGGTCCCCTAAACTTTCTTTGTAGTTTAGTTTGGTAACACTCGCTACACTTAACAAAAACGTAATCTCCCCGAGAAAGAAAAGAAGGTTTTACTTGGGCTTTGCCTTTATTAAATTTAACTACTTCCTTTTGATCTGCGTTTTCAGTGTTGAGGGAAGTTTTATTCCGGATATTGTCTAAATCTAATCTCGGCTCGTCTGAATTTTGGGCTATTAATGATATCCCTAAAGATTGCGCGCGTATGCCAAACATTAGTTCTGTTGGAGTATATCCTGTAACCCTACGGCTTGTGTTATTAAGTGCTAGATGACTCTCCCAGACCAGAGCAATTCAGTAAGATGGGGTAAAGGTACCGAAAACACTTGCTATATCTGCGGAAAGGCAGTTGGAACTGCTAAGCATTTGCTAGTGAGATGTAAGGTTCTCCTGGACAGCGGTCAACTCTCGCGTCGTCACTATAGGGTTTTAGAGATCATACGTGAAGCGGCCAGTCTTTCGGTAGCCAGAGCGCAAAGGGAAACAACCACAAACGAACGATCAATAGGTTTTGTGAGAGAGAGCACCAGGGCTACAAAATCAAACGTCAAGCCTTACTCTATCCTTAAAGCGGCTTCGGATTAGACTATCATGATGGATACGTGTGAGAAACAACACAAAATCCCCGAGGATATTTGTGCGTCAGCCTCTAGACCAGACATATTTCTATATTCGCGTATTTCAAAGCGCGTTGTCATTAAGTATTACGAGCTCACTAACGAACTAACTCGAAATAGGTTCGTCGCTGATTCGTACGCGGTAGAGGTGGGAGCGAGAGGTATAACAGCTAAATCTCTCTACAACCTACTAAAAGACTTGGGCCCGTCCAGAACTAACATTAATTCATTCTTGGAACGTACGTCGAATTCAGCCCTAGTAGGTTCAATTAGTAGTAGTTTTCAAATTTGGCTAGGTAGGGAGAGGAACTTGGACAGTGGAGGTGAGCGTACAACGCGCGTTAGTTAAAGGGGCCCCTTAAACCCACACCTGGGTCGCAAGTCCCCGGCACTGCTGAAGCTCCCCTCCCTGCAACGCGATGGACCCGGCACCCGCACGGTGAATCCATTGAATGCTAAGAGGTTTCGTCCCTTGTACCTCAGGAAGTTTGTCACGCCACGTTTTATGGGTATCGTTTTCTATAATAGTTAGCAGACATTTTAAAATCTGCATGACCCTTTCTACTTGACCGTTGGCTTTATTTGCCCCTGTTGTTATAAAGTAAAGTTCTATACGAGGTGTTTTACTCAATTCTCTAAAGTCCGCGCTTACAAAGCCCCTTCCCCGATATAACAATTCGCTTGAGAACACCGAAAAGAGAAACAGCTTTTCTCAACGCTTTAATAGTACAACTGGCATCGAGGGATAGAGTATGCTCTTAAAGGACATACTTGATAACATAATCAATCATTACTGACGCGTATTTCTTTTCTGTCGCTTTTGCCACTTAATGTCCCAGTCATATCTATGTGAATAGTATGCCAATAAAATGTATGCAAATCCGTCGGAGAATTTACATGGCCAAAATAGCAATAACCCCACTGAATAAAATTTGGAGAGATAGGAAAATTATTAATGGAACAAAAATGCATCTGATACGAACGCTTGCCTTCTCTATATTTCTATCTATCTAGCTATCCGATTCTGTATAGTGCAAAGACGTGGTCTATGAAAGTCGTTGACAGGCAAAGAATTGATGCCTTAAGAATGTGGTGATGGCGAAGTATGTTACGCATACATCAAAATATGGTCAGCGCTTATCTAATATCTATTTGCAGTACATACTGGCGTTGATTGGTCAGTTCCCTGACAGAACTACGGACAGCTTTAAACGTCCGCTAGTGATTGAAAAAGTGGACGGTAACCGAACTAGAGGACTAAATCCCAAAAGGTGACCGGACCAAATCCCAGAACACCTAAAAATACCTGCCTGCGTTGCACTCCATCAAGAAACTAAACGTGTCTATCTCAGTATGGATATGGTTGATTTAAGTCCATACAAGGGACTGATGGACGATAGGTTACCAACGACTAACTTTGTTTCGCTCAATTTTTTTCGATATAGCATATTGTTTCTAACATCGTAGATGTGACTAATTGAATCGGGAAACTTATTATTTAAGAGCTGAGCAACAATATCTTGAACATATGCATCACGTTTTTGTTCTACCGCTAACCACCCTTGATTTACCTCTACAAACTGCACAGACTTATTAACTACTTGAGCCTTGCTTTCGTCGCTCTTGGAAGTGCCCTGCTCAGGGTCATCTATGTACTCTCGGTGTTAATTTTTTTTTTTTTTTTTTTTTTTAACTAAGAAGCTTTGAAAGAATTGCCACCCGTGAAAACAATAAAATGATGACCATATAGCTTTTGCTTGAAATATTCTTCCGCTCGAACGACTGCCGAGGTCTCAAGTTCATAAGAATGATACTTTTATTCCGTGTCAGTTTTCCGGCGACTGAAATATGAAATAACGTGAGGGAGGAACTCCGTTCTTTCATTTAATTAAAATGGTACCGTATCCGTTGGCGCTGGCATTCGTGTGTAATTCTATAGGAGGCTCGCGATCAAATATACTTAGAATAGACTCCGTGGTAAGTATTTGAACTATCCATTTACGAATATTACCGTGGACTTCTGACCGTTTAATTAAACCCTTTAACTTAGTGAGTGGACATAAGGATCGTACTAGGCGGAAATAGTTCGGTATAAAATTTCTAAAACAAAAGGCTTACTATAAGAATTGGTGTTAATTTCCCTAGAGTCAACATACATTATGTCAGAGTTGTCATTCGTTTTTTACAATTAGAATGGGGCTTGATAAAGTGTAAAATGATTGTTTCAAAGAGGGCATCCATTTTTTTTTTTTTTTTTTTTATCGAACAACCTCTTATAATTTGTAAGGTCTCTCTTAGACTATGTTAGGGTCTAAAGAATTAGGGTCTAAAGAGTTAAGAGGTGCCCTTAATAATAAAATGAGTTATACTTCTTAAAAACATCGATAAGGGCTTTGTTATCGTCGCCTTCCAAATAAATTAAGAATGTCTGAAGAAAAGTTAAGATACAAGAAAAGTTAAGACTGTCTGAGGTTGAGCACTTATCTGTTTTTGTCGTTTCAGGTTTTGAGAAAATAATGTAGTCACTGTTTATTTCTCCTTTAATTCCCTACTCTACAAGGTCCCGTCCAACAACCGCGGATTCAAGAATAATATTCTCTTTAATAATATGAAACAAAAGAGACACTGAAACGTTTTGAATTATGACCGGGCTTAAAATTTGTGTATTACAATAAGTCTCCAATGCCTTTCAGGGGAACTACTTCATTGCTCAAAGTACACAGAAATTTATTTGAAAAATTTTCAGATACAGACACACATTAGTACTACATGAACAAGCACACCCACTACTAAAAAGAAAAGGAACAGTCTCACCAGATGACGTCGTCAACTCCCCTCGGTTCGGCTTATGGTCACACAGATATCTCCTTCACCGGCGAGCTTCAATTACCGGTATTTTTACGATCAAGACGCGACGAGATGTCCTAACCTTTATATCCGCCTCCGTACGATCCAGATTGAACCGGATCAACTACGTCGTCGAAGTTAGTTGAGAAGTTGACATTATTTTCATCGACAAGTTTCTCACCATTTTTTTACAAAGTTTAACATAGATGGATGATCACTACTCTCCTCATTTTAAAGCCCTTTCGATCCCACTTCTGATGTAGGAGGGCGTTGTAAGAACAGGAGGGCCTTCATGGGAACTCATACTTTGAAAGGGATAAAGTACAGTCTATTCAATACGACACCAACTCAATCGAAACACTAGATATAACTATCACTTCGATACACAGCGATTCGTCACGAGCGCGGTGCGCGGGCGTCATCCCGAACGAAACTGTATAATAAAGATGGCCGCCCACGCTACCATCGACAATGACGCTTCACTAGGCTAACCTCAGACAGCTAAAGGTCAACCTGACGTATGATTTTTGACGGATGCGCCGTCAAACTTATAAATGGTGTATGTTTTTTAAGTTGTCCTTATAAATAAATATATTTCCAGTCGTCAATAGTGAATTGTAAGACTCACTCGACGCAGACAAACTACAGCCATCTTCGTTCAGAGGTCCACTGTCAGACCTTCGAGCCGAGGGACAAGAACATACAGACGAAGAAACACACTGGGGTCAACACGGACCCCAACAAGACGTTCATATGGGGTCTGCGGGGTCAGATAGGATATGGACAACATGCTATGAAACTAACTGACATTAATGACAGCGAGAAACAGAAAGGTTCTTATAAAATAACTAGATTTCCGGTTTATAAAGTAGCCTATGTCTTATTCCTGGACATCAGCTTCCTGTATACAAAATTTCATCAAAATCGCTTCAGCCGTTTGAACGTGAAGAAGTAACAAACATGCACATTAATTTAATTTCTAATTTTAATTTAATAGTTAATTTTAATTTGTAATTTAAGTAAGCCTAATATTTGCATGCCTTAAGGTAGAATGTACTGGAACTTATACTAAAATCCATTTATACACCTATATTCTGTACCTACATTCAGAGCAAATAAATATAAAAAAAAACATACACTCACAAACTTTCGCAATTATAATATTAGTAGGATTAATTATATGTGTTGTATATCTATAGGCTGTCGATATTAAATCTATAGTAAAGGCAATGCCGATTTGCTATTTATCGATAGTATCGTCATATTTTAATAATATCGGTAGTTATACCTTCAAAACTATCGATAGTATTACTACCACTTAAAATAGTATTGGTTAAGAAGTGCCATCGATACTATCGATATTCTGAATTGTTGTCGAAGTCAACTATCGATGGTTCTGCAAAACTAAATTGTATTTTGCATTGTTTTCGACTACCCCAAAAAATAATACTATTTTTGTATAGTTATATATATTAGCGATTTTTGTCATGTGAATTTTTGAGTTTAGGAATACGCAAATAATTAAAAATGGTGCTAAATATAGTGACAACTACATGTCCATACAAATTTATTTAATCATGTATAATTTTTATCGTTCGTGATTTAATAAAAGGTAAACTTACTAACTTAAGTAAAATTTTAACCCTTCAAATATACCTTGACGATGTAGACTTTTAAGTCTTACCACACTTATGTAATGACATTTACTACAACAGCGTTGCTTAAATATTCAAAGATGATTAAAAAATATTCTATTCTCACAGTTTATTAACGAAAAACTGAATTTCTTGCCCATGTAGAATTTTGTAAATAAAAGTAGATTTTATGACTAAATTAGTCCCAATTAGACTAATAATTATAAGTTAATTTTCATAATATCAGATAGAAATCTTTTAATATATTAATAAAATTAATATTTTATCGTCTTTTCAGCTCGAGTAATTTCTGTGTGCAGCTGGCCGTGTGTCAATAACGAAACTAATTTGAACGACCAACAATCACTTACCGAATAAATGATTGTATTTATATAATACGTTATAGTTATATACAATAATCATTGAATTGTAGTTTTTCATAATAAACGAAATATTACTAAGTATTTTAGTCTTCTTTTATTAATAAATATTAATTTTTATCGCAACACATTCTGTTCATATAAGTTTAAGGAAAATTAATGTTATAATCATCCATAAATAATTAATGGCTTGTTTTAGTATGTATTTTTATTTAAATTTAAATATCTGACATATGTACAATTATTCACTTTTTTCTTTTTTCTAAATTCTTTCCCTATGAATAATAATTTTGAATTAAACCTTTCTAAAGAGATTTTCTTTTAACGCTTTATTTATTGATGATTTTAACAGTATTCTAAGATTTTGTTAAAAAATAATTTACATATCACTGTTAGAAAAACAACTTGATTCAACAACTGCTAATTCAGTTAGAAGACAAGGCAGTTAAGTTTTCTTAAAAATTATGTGGCTTTAGATGTGCTCTACTCTTACAAGAACAGACACCACCAAAGATTGCTTAAAATATATACTACAAGCTTTCCGTCCGCAGCTTCGCCCGCGTGGAGTTCGGTTATATCGCGTTTCCAAGAGAACCTTTCAAAAGTCTGGGATAAAAACTATCCTATGTTCTTTCTCAAGGTCAACTCCATCTCTGTACCAAATTTCATTAAAATCAGTTCAGTGGTTTAGGCGTGAAAGCGTAACAGACAGACAGAGTTACTTTCGCATTTATAATATTAGTAGGGATATATACTTTAAATATAGGACTACACTTAAACAAAAATTAAATTGAGAAACATTCTATTCATTTCCAATAATAAGGTCTTATTCTCCACATAGTACTCAAGATAATAATTCATCAAACAAATAAAAACGGTGACATCGGCAAAACATTCAATAATCCAGTGTGAACGAAGCCTCAGCATAAAATAATATAATAAAGGGCTTATATTTGTAAACTTTATTAATTAGTTCTAACTATATTTATTATAAATAATAATGTCTAAAATATTTAATTGTTATTAATCTGAATTCTTGACATTTTAAATATAACTTCCAAATGTTGTGGACAATTATATAGTTTTGATATTAAATGTACTTAGTAAAAGAAAAGAAGTACATATAATAACTTAATTCTCTTTATTTACATAAGCAAGTAGTTTTCAAAACATAATTAATTAAGATCTACAATACTTATAGGTTCTTAAGTAATGATATTTATAGTATAAAGTATTTCTTGTAAAAAAAATATATTATTATCTGTTATTAGAATTAGTGCTAAACCCATTCTCTATGGTGCATAGAACTAGGTAAATGTTACTATACAAGTACCTCAAGTCTTAAATGTTCACATATACTATGGAATATCAATATGTACATAGTTTATAATATATGACTTAAAAATTGAAAAGCTTTTATATGTATGGTGAATATGAAGACTTGAAACAGAACTACATATAAGCAAATCACTATGTTCTTTAATCCGGAGTTAAACAATTATTTAAATAGTTATATTGAAAACATCTAAGTTATATTAAATAAGACAAACAGATCTTTCTTTTAATATTTTTCAATATGATATCATTTTCTCAATCTACTAAACACTTCCCTTGCTTCTTCAACTAATGCCAGATCATCGGCTTGCTGTTTCAATACAGATTCTTCTTGTTTGAGTACAGTGAGTGTGGTCACTTGGGATGACAATGCTTTGGGAAGAATCGCATCTGGCAGTGAGAGAGTGTGGTATTTTGCCTGGAAATTAATTATTTAATAATTTAAATTTAAGTTTTAATAACTCAAGTATGCAACAAATTAAATTCTTTTATATTTATTTAACAATCTTTAATAATTTAATTAACTTTATGACTGAAGAATACTTTAAAACGATAAATGCTCATATATTCATTCTAACTAGATTTTAAGTATTAATCCTTACACACTCTTCAGTTTAGTCAAAAGAATAAAATTCATACATTTTCTTTTGTTATATTAATATGAATAAAATATAAAAATAATACATTTGCCTTTTCATAACTGTCTTCGTAAGACGCCAATTTCTGTTTCAACTGTTTGATATGATCCTGTATATTCGCTGGATTCGGATTCTGATCTGCGAGAGATTTTCTAGAATTTTCTAATTCCAGTTTTAAGTTATCTATGAATTTTTTGTTCCTATCAATACTCACTTGCAATTCTGCGTTTTTTTGTTGAAGTTTTAATATCTCGTATTCGTCTTTTATTTTCTCTGTGAGTTCCTTATTTCGTATTAAAGCTATGGATGTAGGATCGAGACTTTGTATTTCCAAACTTATTTGGCTCTCTGAAACCTGTTGAAGGAGATTTTGACATCTCTGTGGCAAATTCTCGGGAGATATTTTAAGTTTACTCAATGTTTCAGTGGTAAGAATTGCTGGAACAATATTACAACTATTTATAACTCAATATAATCACAATGAGAATGATTTGAGGTAAATAAAAGCAAGAACTACATTCAAACTACACAAAAAAGTAATGTCAAGAAAAATAATACAAGTTTTTTCATTTACCAAACACTTTATTACTTTAAACTAACTAATACAAATAAAAATATCCACAAATCAATCCATTTTCAATGTAGGAAATTGTACTAAACTCTCTATCTTCTTAGCAACACTTAATAAAAGTTCTTCCGACAAATTCGGACCCATTAATTGAATTGACAAAGGTAGATTTTTTTTGGATAATCTGATCGGTAAAGACAATGCCGGAATCCCAGCCATATTTGCCGGCTGTGTGCAGTAATCTTGAAGGGCACATTGATCTCTATTGTGCTTAGATACAAAATCTTTATAAAGAGGTGCATCAGATAATGTTGATGGTGTCAGAAGTATATCGATTCCATCATTAAACACTTTCTTAAAATCATCTGATATAAGCCTACGTAATTTAAGAGCTTTTAGGAAATACTTTTCATAGTTCCTGGTTAGTAGAAAATAGTTGCCGGCAAAGATTCTTGATCTCACAACATTATTGAAGCCTTCCGATCGAGATGAAGCGTATAGCTCCTCGGTTGAGTAATCTTCAGATGTTCTAAGACCATATTCTAAACCATCATATCTAGCCATATTACTTGCCACTTCACATTGATTTAATATTGAATAGACTGCTATTGAAACTGATGTATGAGGTAATGACACTGCTTCTACGGAACATTTCTCATTTTCAAGCAGATCGGCAACTTCTTTCCACACATCAATAACTTCTTCACTCATTCCCTCACAACGATATTCTTTTGGTATACCAATTCTTATCCTCGAGAGATCAATATCATTCACTACAAAAGATTTAAAGTCTTTCTTTATAGTCGTAGAATCCAATACATCGGGTCCTGCTATTGCGTTTAAAACTAAGCTTACATCATCTACATTTCTAGCTAAAATCCCTGGTACATCCATTGAATTGACCAGAGGTATTAAGCCGTAGCGGGACACTAATCCATAAGTCGGTTTTAGTCCGACAACACCACAAAGAGCTGCGGGATTCCTCGTTGAGCCTCCTGTGTCTGAACCAATGGCTGCCACACAAGTCCCCGATGCCACAGCCACTGCACTACCTCCCGAACTACCTCCAGAAATCCTCCAATCCTTATCATACTGCCAGGGATTACGAGTGGGTCCAAAAATAGAATCTACTGTTCCGGCACCCATGGCAAATTCATCTAAATTGGTCTTTCCAATCAAACACGCACCCGCGTCAACAAGTCTTGAATAAACAGTCGCATCATACGTAGGTGTGAAGTTTCTTAACATGTTTGAAGCACAAGTTGTTGGTATATTTTTCGTACAGAAGTTATCTTTTATAGCAATCGTAATACCTTCGAGAGGTCTAGTTTTCTTCTCTATATAAACTCTCTTTTCACTTTCCACAGCATGATCCTCTGCTATTTCATCAGTTAGGGTCACAAAAGCGTTCAAACATTTCGTTTGTTTCGCTCGTTGTAAACATAAATCTACGAAACTTGTTGGGGTTAGAATTTTATCCCGAAAGCACTTATGTATTTCTTTCACACTGTATGACGTTAATTTATTCATTTTAATAGTTTTTTATAAGTATTTTCCCGTGTCTTAGTCAAAATAACATTTTTATGAAGGAACAACTATGAAATCCGTTTGTATTGCCGATTGATAGAACATCTGTCAAAACAATTTTTCTAACTTATCCGTAAACAGTAATGTCAGATCAAATCATAATGATTTCGAGAATTTTTCTGAAACTGAATACCAAAAGACCAATGTTTTTTTATCCTGCGGTTTAATATGGATACTATTTAACTAATTATTCATTTATTGACACATAACAGGCAATAAATACTAGAAAATCAAGTTCTTTTAACTTTTACCCACCTAATGCTTTAGATTCTAGTTTTTCTTTAACTGAGATTGATTTATGCACTTGTAGATGTTCCTCGTTAATGTTAAAGTTGATTTTCATATTGCTATTTTATCAATTAGTAGTCGAGTGCTGAGGAAGTAGACTTAAACGGTCCCTAAATTTCAAATTTAAAATATGTTGTGACAAATTACTGAAAACAGATAATTAATAAAGATAACAGGTAAATAATAAGCTCTTAAGGATTTATTCTTCTATGTTGATTCACAATAAAATTCATCAATACTTTATAATACATATAAAAACGTTTCATAACAATATATCATCAATACAATTTTAATGTAATAAAATAACATAATTTTTTGTTACAGCTAAACTTTTAGGTCAAATATATATTTTTTTATTTTTATGATTTCTTACTATAAATAACCCTAGATTATTTTTAACAATATATTTTAATATTCTTTATTATATGTAAAATTTATCATGTAATAAATTTTCACTCTGACTTTTACAAGTAAATAAAGTTTTGTCAATATTCGTAAATGTCAAACTTCAAAGAATATTATAAATCCTTGAAGTCGCGATTCAAGTTCTAAATTATAACAATATAATTTTAAAGATATTAATAAAATAAGATATAAAGTATAATCGATAGAATTTTAAAATATTTTTTCTTATGATATATTACGTTAAATAAATATGTCTCATTTGCAATATATGCCCGGAGACCCTCGGCTGGTGGATCAATTGGTTTACGAATTAAAATCAAAAGGCATTTTTGATCAGGTATTCTTTTATCTACTATATATAAATTAAAATATTATAAAGTTACTCTACAGCGTGTTGTAACCTTTACTTTTTAACGGCACGATTTATTAAATTAAGTGAATTAATCCGTCCTCCATTGCTTGTAATACTATGATGAATATTGATTTACGATTAGGATTGTGTGAAACTATAAGATGAAGTTGTAATCATACAAATATTATAATTTCTAACCTATTAACTTCTCAAAACTTCCAGAATTATATTTCCATATAATAATTTAAGTAATTAAAACCAGTCAAGTTTGTTGGTTTTAATTTTCATTAAGTAAGTGACAAATGGATTTTTACTAGTAAAAATTTGATTGTGTAATATACTCAGTGCCTTCCCACATCAGCAACCTAAGATAGGTTACATATTCTCTTAATAACATAAGTCATTTCATTTTTCTTAAGTACATGACTTTACTTCATTAAATCTATTAAACAATATATATATAACAATTAATAATTCAATATTAGAATCCAAACAGAATATTACAAATATGATTAAATACTATTAAATTTGCATTATATCATTATTCATAAGAGAATACATGAATTTCACAAATAAGTAATACTTTTTAATTCCATCTAGTTCCGCAAAGACTGCATTGCAGATGTTGACACGCGACCAGCTTATCAGAACTTAAGGCAGAGAGTCGAGAACTCAGTATCAACATTTCTATCACGACAGACTTGGCAGCCAGATTTGAACAAGAATCAACTAAGAGAGAAGTTGAGGAAACATATTCTAGAGTAAGATTTATATACTATAACAATTAATTAATTATTTATCATATATAAAACTTGTGTCCCTAAACATATATTTCCACTGTCCACTTTGACAATAAAATGTTTTTTAGTGACCCAATTTTTCACCTACTGAAAAACCATTATAACTTAACCTACCTAAGAAATAGCATCTAAATAATACTCTATTTATTTTTCAAACATATAAGTCTGCTGACAACTTTAAGAGTAAAATATTATTTAGTGACCCAATTTTCACCCAGTGAAAAACCATTATAACTTAACCTACCTAAAAAACCCTTTAAACAACACCCCATTTATTTTCTGGGACTCTTGCAACCTAAGCCTGCTACAAGGATTGTTATCGCTCATTTTAAGAAAGGCTTTTTCTAGTGACCCAATTTTTTAACTACTGAAAATCGACTATAACTTATCCTAGCCAAAAAAAAACCCTACAATTTTAAATTTTCTGGGTCTATTGCCACATTTAGGCCGGCTTCATTATCACTCACTTCAGGAACGGATATAAAGTAATTATAGATCTCAATTTTGCTAAACTAAGCTTTAAATAACCTTGTGCTATTTTGTCAATGACATTGTTTAAATTATTTGTTTATAATGTCTTAAGGTCAAACTGAATATACATGCTATTATAACTACATTCATGGCTAGTCATAAACATATAGACAAAAATTATATTGCTTCTTGTTTTGTGGTCAATAGTTTTGTTTATAATTTTGCTATAATAAATTTGGTAAGTGTTCTATCAGGTATACCAATTTATTGTGATATAAATTAGAATTAATTTGTTTGTTTACTAAGATTATTTAACTTCTATTCTAGTATTTCATTTTTAAATTTCACAAGATTATTAAGTAAAAAATTACAGAATTGATTACCAAATACATATTTTCATGGCTTGTTCTAACTCAGTTGTTAAATTAATTTAAACACTTACTTATCCTCTATTAATTTAATTTCCAGTGGCAATTACTTAGAGCAAGGCGTCGAAAGAATCGTGGACCAAGTGGTTAATCCGAAAGTTGCATCCGTCTTTATACCTAAGGTTGAAGATCTTGTGTATAATTATTTAGGTATAACTAAGAAAAAATCACCGGTACCAGAAACATCGAATGGGAAAATTGAGGATTTACTGCCGAATGATTTAGAGGCGGTAAGTCCAGGGTCTGTGAATGAAGATAAGAATGAATCTATGGAAGTTGATGGAAAGGAAAACTCTGAAATGGAAATTGATGAAGTTAAACAGAATTCTGATGTCATAGATAACGTTCAGTCTGAAACCTGTGAAGAAACAACTGCCGATATTCTACTACCGCCCGATGTTATTAGCGATGACAAAATAGAAATACCTCTACCGGCAGAGGAAATAAAAATGGAGAATATACCAGAACCGAAGAAAATGGAAGTGGAAAAAATAGAACTGCCAAAAGAACCGATTATATCCACCGATATACCATTACCTGATGATATACCTAAGGAAGAAAAAGATGATTACTTCAAACCAATCAATAGTGACGATGATGACTCAAGTTCCGATTCATCCATCATACGAAACATGTCACCATTAACACCCATCAGAAATTATAATAATGAAAATTCATATGACGCGCAGCAGGCCTTCGAAAATGACTCAGTTGAAGATAAAACTGACGAAAAAAAAGAACCTAATATATTTAGATTCACAATCGAAGCAAAGTCTCCCGAAAATAGCTCAGATGTTGTTAAATCTGAGAAAAAACAGTCGGATAATAATCTAGCTTACCGGTTCAATAATCAAGTGAACATTAATACACCTGTTTACGAAGATAGCTCCAATAGCAATATTCTTCACATAGATTATGAAAGTGATGCTAATAGCAAAGCAAATATCGACAACAAAGTAATCGAAAATGATCAAAATTCAAAAGACTCTAAAAGAGAAAGTAAATCTGAAGAAAAGAGAAATAGTCATAAAAGTTCCCATCGCTCACATAAACAATCGAGCAGCAAGGAAAAACGATCAGATTCAAAATCATCAAGCTTAAAAGACAGTCGTCAAGATAAAAGTAAATCTTCCAAAGATGATTCTAAATCAAAATCCAGTGACAAAGAAAGGTCCAGAGACAGAAGTGACAAAAAAGACAGCAGAGATTCATCTAGACATAGAAGTTCACATAAAAGCCACAAGGATTCAAAATCACATAGAAGCTCCAGCTCAAGTCAAAGACATTCAAGCAAAAGCGACGATAAAAAGACATCTAGTCAAAAAGAAAGAGAAAGAGACAGAAGCGATAAATCAAAAGATTCTAAATCGAGTTCTCAAAGGTCAGACAAGGATAGAAAGAGTAGCAGTAAAAACGAGAAAAGCAAAAGCAAACACGACGATAAAGATAAGGACAAAAAAAATAAAAAGGATACAGATGACCATTACAGTGTGTCAGGACGAGGGAACCCAAATAGACGTTCAACAGACAGAGACTCAAACGATGGGAGCTCCTCTTCAAAAGGATCTCACAATCCATCAAGTTCTAAATCTACGAATGGAAAAAAAGATAGTAAAAGTAGTTCCAAATCAGAAACTACATCGACTAGCGGAGAATCAACTAGTCCCAGTGATAAAGAAAATGTTGTACACGAAGGAACTACAGCCAAGGATTTATTACAACACAAACCTATAGTCAGGATTGAGGGTCGACTTGAAACACCGATGGCCTCCCCGCCAAGACTTCCGTTTGTACCTGACGTGACGATTAGAAAACCGAAGTTCGCAGCCAATTTGGAAGAAGCGAAACGTCTCATGAAGATGAGGAAATTTTTAGATGAAGAACAGAAACGAATGAACCAGGAAGCAGCTTTACTTCTTGAATTCCAAGCTAATGTTAGACCGAGTTTGAGCCAAGTATACTCTAATATACCCGGACCGGAATTGGAGTTCGCTTGTATCATGAATTCCAGACACACTCAAGAAGAAATACAAGATAATGATAATAAAAATAATGTACAGGAACCACATTATACAAACAATCAGTTACTGACCGTGCTTAATAATGAATATGAGGATGAGAAATCTGATATGGAAGTGCGAGCAACGACGAGTACTGAACCTATAGCCATAGAAGTTAACAAAGGTGAACCTACGCCCACACTATCACAGAATATTCAAGATGATATATATCGTGCTGTGAACGAAAATATTGAAGATGAACACGTAGAAAATAGTTCTACTATACATAATACTCAAACCAATACAGATAAAAAAGAAATAAAATATATAGACGAGGAAAACTTAAGATATTTCAATAAAAATGAACAGTACGACGCAGAAATTGAAATAGCCAAATTCACGTCATTCTTCATTGAATACAAAGAGAAGACGATTAGTGATAAATTATATTTAATTAACTGCGATCCGTACGAAGAGAATATAGTTCGCGACGTGTCCAAAAAGTTTGGGAAGTTTGAAATAGTGAACTACATTAAAAACGGTCATCTCAAGTTACCAGCAACAAACGTAGTGAAGAACGTCAATATATCCACAGAAATATCTTTACCCATTGAAGCTGACTTCGAAATGAACGGCTCAGAAAGTCCTAAATCACAGATATTTAGTCCGGGGAAATCTGAATGTTCGTTTGACCTATCTAGCGATTATGACGCGAAATTAACGGAAATGGTCAACAAAACATCTAGACAGGAAGTCATGGAGATTATATTAGGCAGTGCTCTAGATTCATCTACGAAGATGCCGACAATAGATTACTTTACGGACTCAAACATAGAAGCCTTCGAGAACAGTATGAAACGAAAAATGAGCGAAGAAACGACTGTCAATAATAATATACACGTATTAACGCCGAATAAAATAAGAAAATTGAGTACGGATCAAATAACATCTACCACTGAAGGTGAGTCTTAACTTATATGATATTTATTGTTTTAAATATATGTATAGGATTAATTATTTTTATTATTTTTGTAGAAATAGAAGAAATCCCAACAAACAAATCAAACTGCACGCGATCCAAATATTTAGGCAAAGCTAGAAGGGTGGGTCTGCCTAGACCGAGGAAAACATGTGAGTGGAATCTCATAAAATTAAAAATACTATTTAAATGAAACTAATATTTTTTGGATATACTACGCGTGATTTATTTTTGTAAAAAACTACATACTACCGAAGCTTTGGTTACTTTTCATCGTGATCACGGTTGCTGATATCCGAAAAATATTATTTCATTTAAATGAATAAAACTCGAGCAAGTCTTAAATCCCATTTACAATACTACTTATTTAATAATAATACGGTTTAGGATATGTACATTATATCATTTATGTATAAAATATCTTTTTAAGAGTTTCTCTCTTAATTTTAACGTGTCTCTGTCAATATGACATTTTTCATTTTGTCAAAAGTAACCAAATACATAATATGACAATTTCACATTTAAATTCATTCATAAATACTGATATTCATTAATTATGTTTATTAAATAATTTCCAGTGCTCCCAAACAGTCCTTCAAGCGACAAGTCGGTTGAAAATTACGAACAGAACACGCCAACACAGTCACCCAACGGAAAAATAAAACGCAACAAAGTACAAAGATACGACACATCCGACCTCTACAAACCTAAACTACACTTCCTATCACGAAGAAATCATCATATTACTTAATAAAACGAACGATATATATAAATATTAAATTGTTTTATTATTATAATGTTGAAATAAAATAATTTTAAATGGCCTTCATATAATCCAATTTTTTTTTAAATGTCATTTGTCGTATTTTGACAGTTCTGATATTGCTTTTTTGGAGGGAAACTTGTGTTTAAATTACAAAAAAAAAAATTTAAAGTGTTATTATTTATTTTTCATTATATTTTGTCGTGGTTTTATTTATTAATTATTTCAAAAGTATTTGTGTGTCATTTATAACCTCACATCGAAAGACTCGAACATAGCCTTAGCAACAAACCGTTTACGAATATGAAATTAAATTATGAATATTAAATAAACTTATTTATATACAGTTGAAACGAAACTCGCCTTTATTATATGTAATGTAAAGTTTCTAACATTTGTAGATACCTGTTTTGTTTTGCCGATGCTAAATATTTATTTTTTTAACTAATAAATCTAGTTCAACGAAAATATATGATTAGTCTACTTTGTTGTGTTTTGTGAAAAAGAACAGAAATATTGTAGTCACTCTGTTTATAAGTATGTATTATTGAATATATTATTACAAATTATAATCATAATTTTATAGATGAAATTAAATTTGTTAATGCCAATCGTATTTTATTTAAACTAACATGTATTATATTTAATCAGTTATTAACTATCAGAAACGAGACTGCGATACATGGTTTTGTTACTAATTAATAAAACATTCCCTATGTAGTACATACCTTCATATTAAACAAATTATTAAAAGCAGCTAGTTATTAAAGATGTAGCAGCACGTACACGAAGTAATAACAATAGTTTATTTATTTATAAAGACGTTCTCGTCGATGGATTTGGCGACGCTTTCATCGTTGAAACAGAAGCACATATTAATAACAATAGTATATTTATAAAGACGTTCACATCGCTGGATTTGGTGACGTTTTCATCGTTGAAACAGGTACACATATTAATAATAATAGTGTATTTATAAAGACGTTCTCGCCGCTGGATTTGGTGACACTTCATCGCTGAAACAGGAACACACTGATGACACGATGCCGGCCCCTCGCCACGACGTAGTCTTCTTTTTCTTCAGTTAGCAGCGTTTTCAAGATGTTGTCACTCCCCGGCGCGCGCGATCCAAAAGACCGATGCGCTCGCTGGAGTGACAGATATAACCACGGTTAACGCATGCGCAGTGACACCGATTAAACGCATGCGCATTAAAGACGAAACCGTATGCGCGGCGACCAATCAAAACGCCTGTTTTAATCTGCTGGTTATTCATATTCTATATGTAATCAATTTTGTAGTATAAATAACTGTAAATATTTTCAATAAAACATTCCTTGAACAAGTGAAAAGTCTATTATTCTCTCCATACGTCTCAACGCTTAAAGTGGTGACCCCGACAGAACAAGAAACCTCTGAAGAAAAGGAATCCGGACGAATCCCTGCCCGAAAAACATTCAAAAAATGGAAACCCAGCCACCTCAAGCTCTCGCCAGCTCTCAAGCCGCCGCGGAAGTATCGAGTATAGCGCTGTCAATGCGCATACCTCCCTTCTGGCGTGAAAACCCACGGCTGTGGTATCACAGTTTCGAAGCAGCCACTGACGACCTCAAGAAAAGCTCTGCTCAATTAACGCAGATGGTTCTGGTACAACTAGAGAAGCCGGATATCGAACAAATATCCGACATTTTGTTCAACATACCGAAGGAGCAGCAGTACCAAGCCATTAAAGAGCGTCTTATCTCAGTATACGAGGAGTCCGACAGCCGTCAATTTCAGAAACTATTAGCCGAAATGGAGCTCGGAGATCAAAAGCCGACTCAGCTACTCCGACGCATGAGGAATCTAGCCAGAGACAAGATCTCGGACTCGACGCTGCGAATGATGTGGACGAAATTATTACCCGCTCACGTTCGCTCTGTACTCGCTGTAAGTGAACAATTCAGCTCTAAGACGACACTTGAAGAGCTAGCTATGCTCGCTGACAAAATGATAGAACAAACCCAGGAGGTAGCATCCGTACAATCAGCACCTAGCCCGCCGCAAGCCACTACTTCGAGCCACACCGACACCCAATTTCTTATTAACGAAATAAGAAAGCTATCACTCGAAGTAGCTGAATTAAAGGCACGACCGTCATACAACAAATTCAAACATCGGAGAGATCACTCCCGAAGCCGCCAACGCAGATCGTCAACACATCGCAGTCGTCACAATTCGCCATCTCCACTGTGTTACTATCACCGCCGCTTCGGTAGTCAAGCCCGACGGTGTACTACGCCGTGTAGTTATAGTAAAGATCACATGAAGTCGGAAAACTAGACCGAACGTTGGCAGAGGCGGAATCCGGCGTTCACAAATCATACCGCCTATTCGTTACCGATAAAAAAACGAACTACTCTTTCTTAGTAGACACGGGAGCGAATATCTCCGTACTACCTCGAAAACCAGGCCAGAAATCGACGCCGCTACCTTTCAAATTATATGCCGCCAACAACACGGTAATATCAACGTATGGAGAACGAACGCTCGAACTCGATATAAATCTACGACGACCGTACAAGTGGAAATTTATAGTTGCCGATGTATCGAAGCCTATATTAGGAGCCGATTTCTTAAACTATCACCAACTCATCGTTGATATCAAGAATCGAAGATTAATCGACGCCGTAACGAATTTACGAGTAAACGTGCCGATTAAATCAACTACTACACCCACAATAAGAAGCATCGACATAAGCGACGCGTACCACGACATACTAGCTGAATTCCCCGGCATAACACGACTTACCGCAATGAAGCTGGGAACTAAAATCAACGTCGAACATTATATCGAAACTACGGGACCTCCGATCCACTGCCGAGCACGACCTATACCGCCGCATCGTTACGAAACCGTTAAGAAAGAATTTGAGAATATGATGCAACAAGGACTCTGCCGTCCTAGTAAAAGCGCATGGTCATCGCCACTTCATATTGTACCTAAAAAGAATGGGGATATAAGAGTGTGCGGTGACTATCGACGACTCAACGCGATAACGAAACCCGATCGCTACCCAGTACCGAGAGTCAAGGACTTCACACATCATCTCTCAGGTAAAACCATATTTTCAACCGCCGATCTCAACCGCGCTTACCAACAACTTGAGGTCCGCGCCGAAGACATTGAGAAGACAGCAATCATAACACCAATGGGTTTATTCGAATTCCCTCGAATGTGTCCCGGTCTGAAGAATGCCGGACAAACTTTTCAGCGATATATTCACGAAGTGCTCCGAGGACTCGATTACGTATTCCCTTTCATTGATGACGTTTTAATCGCTTCAGCTAACGAAACTGAACATCGAGAACACCTCCGAACTGTACTCACACGATTTCAAGAGCACGGCATCACTATAAACCCCGCGAAATGTAATTTCGGGAAACAGCAAGTCAAATTCCTAGGATACATGGTATCGGAACAAGGCATCAAACCACCCGATGATAAAGTCAAGGCTATCGTCAACTATACGAAACCGAAAACAGTTGAAGAACTACGACGCTTCCTAGGAATGTTAAATTTCTATAGAGATCACATTCCAAACGCCGCCACTATACAAGCTCCGCTAAATTCATATATACACAACGTTAAGAAGCGCGATAAAACTATAATCGAGTGGACCGACGAAGCAACGCAAGCATTCGAAGCATGTAAAGTTAGCATCAGTAATGCGACTTTACTCGCTCACCCGTCTCACGAAGCAACACTCGCAATATTCAGTGACGCCTCAGACAACGCCGCCGGAGCCGTACTACAACAGTACATACATAATACATGGCAGCCCCTCGGTTATTTCTCAAAGAAATTCTCAGACGCTCAGAAAAAATACTCAACATACGATCGTGAATTACTTGCTATATATATGGCAGTAAAACACTTTAGGAAAATATTCGAAGGCAGACCACTCATAATATTCACCGACCACAAGCCTCTCACGTTTGCTATGAACAAAACATCAACAAACAACGAGACGCCGCGACGAACAAGACAATTATTATTCATTAGTGAATTTACAACCGACATACGTCACGTAAGTGGGAAACAAAACATCGTCGCCGACGCTTTAAGTCGTGTCGAAACTATATCCTGCCCGTCTACAATAAATTATGAAGAAATAGCCTCAGCACAACGAAGTGACAACAACATTCAACATTTACTTCAACAAACCAACCTATCATTCAAAAGGGTAAATATTCCTAATACAGATACAGAATTACTTTGTGAAACATCAATATCATTCATACGACCTTACATACCTACCGATCATCGTAAAGAAGTTTTTAACAACATACATAATATCAGTCATCCCGGAACGCGAACAACAAGGAAATTAATAACAAGAAAATTCTTTTGGCCGTCCATGAATAAAGACATCGCAACGTGGACTAAGAATTGCATTCAATGTCAGAAGAGCAAAATACAACGTCATACACACAGCAAAATAAATTCGTTCCCGCCAACCGACCGCTTTCAACATGTGCACATAGATATCGTCGGACCGTTACCTACAACAGCTCAAGGTTACCGATATTTAATAACCATGATCGATCGACATACGAAATGGCCCGAAGCGATACCTACCATCGATATATCCGCTGAAACAGTCGCAGAATGCATATACAACAACTGGATAAGTCGATTCGGATGCCCCGCTACTATAACAAGTGATCAAGGCCGACAGTTTGAAAGTCAAATATTTAAAAACTTAATGAAAATACTCGGAATACAAAGAATACGAACTACGCCTTATCATCCACAAAGCAACGGAATGATTGAACGATGGCATCGTTCATTGAAGAACGCATTACGCGCCAAACTATCCGATACAACGTCATGGATCAATGAGTTACCTACTATACTACTCGGGTTAAGAGCCGTCTTACGCACCGATAACAACGTAAGCGCAGCCGAACTTACCTACGGCTATAACTTAAGACTCCCAGGTGATTTCCTAGACACAAATAAAACAACAGACTCAGCATCATTAAATTATAATTACGTCGAAAAATTACGAGAAAATATACAGAAATATAAACCATTACCGAACTCGCAACGAAACAATAAACACATTTTCGTACATCAAGACCTACGAACATGTCCGTACGTGTTTATTCGAGTCGACGCAGTCAAATCACCGCTTCAAACACCCTATGAAGGCCCCTTTCGAGTTGTAAACAGAACAGATAAAGTCTTTACAATTCAATTACCCGATCGTCAAACATGCATCTCAATTGATCGACTGAAGCCTGCATATGTGTTAAATACCGAAAATTCAGATTTACCTCAAACCAAGAAAACCATTACAAATGATACCAGAGTTACCATCAAAACCTTACCAATGGAAAAATCAGCTGATACGAACAACATGACGTCACAGCCTACTCGTATATCAACTCGACTAGGCCGCTCCATCAAGTTGCCGGTACGTTTCACTTGAGGGGGATTACTGTAGCAGCACGTACACGAAGTAATAACAATAGTTTATTTATTTATAAAGACGTTCTCGTCGATGGATTTGGCGACGCTTTCATCGTTGAAACAGAAGCACATATTAATAACAATAGTATATTTATAAAGACGTTCACATCGCTGGATTTGGTGACGTTTTCATCGTTGAAACAGGTACACATATTAATAATAATAGTGTATTTATAAAGACGTTCTCGCCGCTGGATTTGGTGACACTTCATCGCTGAAACAGGAACACACTGATGACACGATGCCGGCCCCTCGCCACGACGTAGTCTTCTTTTTCTTCAGTTAGCAGCGTTTTCAAGATGTTGTCACTCCCCGGCGCGCGCGATCCAAAAGACCGATGCGCTCGCTGGAGTGACAGATATAACCACGGTTAACGCATGCGCAGTGACACCGATTAAACGCATGCGCATTAAAGACGAAACCGTATGCGCGGCGACCAATCAAAACGCCTGTTTTAATCTGCTGGTTATTCATATTCTATATGTAATCAATTTTGTAGTATAAATAACTGTAAATATTTTCAATAAAACATTCCTTGAACAAGTGAAAAGTCTATTATTCTCTCCATACGTCTCAACGCTTAAAAAGACTACTTCACGGCGATCTTCTGTGAGAGGGTGGTTCTTCCTCGGTCGAGCCAGCACATGTTTGAGCTGTAGTAAATGACTACAGCTAGGCTCTACCACCTTGCAAAATTTCTTTATTTTAAAAATTAATTTATTACTCGTGCACTTAATCATTAGTTTTAATTTACAATCTTTATTAGTTTTAAAATCTTTTTTAATTTACACCTCACCTTATTCTTCAACTAGATTTTTACATAACACTAACGCTCCCATTAGAACAAAGTAGTGTTAATATTTTTATGAAAAACCTATTGTGATAAAATAACTAACGTTTTAATTTATATGCAGATTATTGTATTTATTATGTTTTTCGTACTCTTATAGGCAGAATTTTAATTAATAAGTATATAAGTCGTAATTAAAAATGCGTTACATTTGTGATTATTAAAAAATATCCGAATTTTTTTTTAAAACTAAGAACCGCGAATACTCACTTGAAGCGTGCATTTTAAAAGACCACACGTTTTCTTTTATAGGTCAGTTTTTTTATTAAACTAATATTTTTCGCATGTTACTACGCGAGTCGCGACTTTATTTTTTTTGTTTTGCAGACACTCACATCTCGTCTGCCCGTAATCAAGAGTATATAGTTTTTTTTACAAAAAATAAAGTTTCGTAGTAATCCGAAAAATACTACCTACTTTCATTTAAATGAATAAAACTCGCGAAAATCTTAAATCTCATTATATTATCTTTATAATAAAACTCTATTTTTAAAATAAATTCATTTTCAGTTAAATTGTTAATATAAGTTTTTTATTGCACAATAATATGAAACTTTTTTAAATACTGTTCCCTTTACCTTAAATTAAGGCGGCCAACCGTCCCGCATTCTGCGGGACCGTCCCGCAATTCTAGACGAAGTCCCGCTTTGAAATTATTCGTAAAATAGTCCCGCAAAACGTTGTATGCGTCCCGCATGTCCCGCATCCCTATTTTTCTACGACACTTCTACACAACAGTGTAGGAACACAGATTACCTATAATAGGGACAAGCGTGTCGCGCCCGCGATAATCTCGTTTTCTTTCTTTCTTCTGAACTCATGACGCGTAAGAGAGTACTTAAATTTAATATGGACAGTTGCGAAGATTTTTATGACATTCACAATCCCTACCCCCCCCCCCCCCCCCCGCCATTCACGAAAGGTTACGTCCCGCATTCAGTTTTCGGAAAGTTGGCCGCCTTACCTTAAATATATATATGTAGACCTTATATACACGTGGTTAGTTACATTAGGTTACAAAAATATTCCAACCTTTAATAAACTACTGAACGCTTTAAGCAAGAATTGCGTTAGAAAAATTTCCACTCTCCTAATTACATCAATTATAAAATATTATGTAACTAATATGACATGATGCCATAACAACAAAGAGATATTAAAACTTAACAAGAAAAGCAAGATTATTAATTCAAATTAAATTAACAAAAAGGTAGAGGTTTTATATTTCAAGGTAGAATAATCCCTACTAATATTATAAATGCGAAAGTAACTCTGACTGTTTGCCTGTTACGCTTTCACTCCTAAACTACTGAACTGATTTTAATGAAATTTTGCTAGAGATAAGAGTTGACCTTGAGAAAGAACATAGGATAGTTTTTATCCCAGACTTTTGAAAAGTTCTTTTGGAAAAGCGATATAACTAAAATCCACGCGGGCGAAGCTGCGGGCGGAAAGCTAGTATATAATAAAATAACCATAGAGTCAAAAATAAAACTTTATTCAACTATATGATACAATTAAATGTGCAATGGATAATAAATAGCGACAATAAATTACAGCGGATATTGAGATAAAATAAATATGTTAATCTGAGTTCATGTATTATATACTTAATACTTGCTTCAGTCAAAACTAAAATAATATTCACGGCAGTTAAAAAACTAGGATATTGATTTGATTGTATCAGAAATATTTAATTATTTAAAAATCTCTTAACACTCAGTGAGTGGTGTCATTTTATTCATATCAATTGATTGGTTTGGATTTTAAGGTCAATGGTTTAATCTTATTGTCAACTAGTGAACGTAGAAGTCTGTTTAGTTTTGGGCGGCCTGTTTCTGTAAGCCCGAGGGGTCCATTATCGGAGCTTCTTTCTTCACCATGCCGGAAAGAAGAGTCTTGATTTGGGCAATCGCCTTACCAGGGTTTAGGCCTTTGGGGCAAGTTCTGGTGCAGTTCATGATTGTATGGCATCGGTACACGGAGTATGTGTCTTTGAGCTTCGATAGACGTTTTGCGGCCGCATCATCACGGGAATCAATGATCCATCTGTAAGCCTGCATCAAAACCGCGGGTCCAAGATACTTGTCACCGTTCCACCAGTAGGAAGGGCAGCTAGTAGAACAACAAGCACAAAGAACACACTCATACAAACCATCCAATTTAACTCGGTCCTCGACATCTTGAAGCAGCTGAGTCTCCTTACCTTTCACAGCCTCATTGTCACGCTGAAGCCACGGTTCTATTGACTGGTATTGACGGTAGAAGTTAGTCAGATCGGGCACGAGATCCTTCACTACGTACATGTGTGGTAATGGATAAATTTTTGTTGGCTTCGACAAGTTCTGGTCAATGTGGCTAATACAGGCTAGTGTATTGACTCCGTCGATATTCATGGCGCAGGAACCACAGACACCTTCGCGACAGGACCTTCTAAAGGTGAGGGTGGGATCCATTTCATTCTTGATTTTCAATAAAGCATCGAGAACCATCGGCGCGCAGTCATCGAGGTCTACCTCAAAATTCTGTGTGTAGGGCTTCTTATCGGGTTCGTCAGGGTTCCAGCGGTATACGGCGAAAGTCTTCACCCTTTTACCGAGAGCTGATGACGTTGCGAAGGTACGCAGTTGCCCAAAAGCACCAGTTGTCATTCTTAAAAGTGGCATTATGTAATGTTTTTATTTATTTTCGACACCACTTAATACTTTCTCTTATTTTATATATTACACTACTATTTACAAGCGTCGTTGATTTTAATATCTAGAGTCGGATCGTAAGTGGAGTTTTTGTCGATATCAGATAGGAATTTTTTTGTTTTATGTTACGATTAACTGATGACAGAACAGGCGACAGGCTCGAGGACAGCGGGCTGTGGTTGTGGTTTGACAATTGACGTATGACAAATACCATTCAGTATTCCGTTGTAAGACATATACATTTACTTTATTATAGTAAATTATAAAAGTATTAAAATAAAAGATTTCCTTATTTAATATTGATCGTCCTTAAATTATAATTTAAATGAAAAATCATAACAATGATCTTTTTGTATGAGTAAAAAATTGGAATCCATGCCTATATTTACGAATTACGAATACATAAAAAAACATTAAGGCGGCAATATAAATATTTTGACAATAGCTACAAATTTACAATATCCAATAATATTGTATATTTAATTTGTTTTTGATAAGATAAAAAGTTATGTTATAATTTTGAGAAATGAATAATACACCCTCACGAATTAAAAGCAATCACATTGAGTCTCCGAAAACGCCGGGTGGTATTAGTAAATCATTGCTGACTCCTTGTAGACGAGTGGGTCTCTCTCGAAATTGGAGGAAAGGCTCCGTTTCACCCTTCGTATCACCTTTATCTGGTTCAAATTCCAATGTTAACACAGAAAATGAATTGAAGAAAAGAAAGAAATGTGATGAACCTGATAAAGACCCTATTGACAAAGAAGATACTCATGTATGTGGTAATCAGACACTACACGATACTCCTTCAAGAACTCTCCCAGCTCGGAAAAGATCGAAAACATTGGTTTTAAGTAGCCAAGATAATGAAAATGAAGTATTTACTGAATCACAAGAAGATATAAATAAGTCTACTTCTAATTTGAATACCCTTGATGATAGTCATTCCTTAGAACAGGTTTCAAAAGGCAATACAGAACAATCTTCCAATAATGTAACAATAGTATCAAAATTGAAGCAAAAAAATAAGTCTGTTTCTAAAAGTAACACTTCAAGTAAAACTTTAGTAAGTGAGGAACATGCCAATCATTCAAAGTCAGAACAAAACATAATTAACTCAAATAAAACAGAAGATACAAGTTGCGATAATTTAAAAAATATAAAAAAATCTCCTAACAATTTAACACGAGAATGTATGGTTGTAATTCAGAAAAATATATTAAAAAGTGATGTACCTTCCAATACTATAAATGATAAAAATTCATCACAGCTATCAAATATTTCTGATGATGATGTTCCACTTTCACATTTAGGCTCCAAAGATGATGATTTTAAAGACAAGAATGACTGCATCAAAAACGAAAACTTTGTCAAGAAATTGGACAAAACTACTTCTGTTACTGGCTTGAAAGTCAAAAGTAAAACTAAAGAAAAGAAACCCCATAAAAAAACAAAAATTATGCCGACTAAACTATCATCGCAGAGCTCCGGTACTGACGATGATGATTTTAAAGTAGATAAACGAACAATACTCATTAAAAAGTCCTACAGCAAAATTTCCAAGCCCGTTAAATCCAAATCTACCGGCTCGATAACACAATCAGATATAGACGATCTCCAAGCAAGAATTGATAGGAAAAAGAATAAATTGCTGGCAAAAGCTATGACGAGTGAGACCGAGGAATTGAGAAGTCTCATTAAAAAGTGGCAAACGGGTTGCCAGAATGCATTAACTGAATTATTTGAATTGATGAAGGCCAAAATGCCGGAACGTTCTATGGCATATTCGGATATATTGAAAATGTTTAAAATACCTTCAGATTTAGTCGGTTACGATTCAGAAAATGATTGCTTTGTTTCACCACAGGATACAAATATTATTTTATCCGGTCTTAATCTTAATGAAATTTAAGAATAATTTAGTATAATTGTCATTTAAGTCCTAAATATATTAAAAATGCTATATATTGTTTGATTCTAAGGTACAACTAAAAAATAGAATACTGTCTCCAGTATATACATATTAAGACTATAGAAAATCTTTTTCTATAGTCTTACACCCATAATTGTATACTAAAATACCTACTAATATTATAAATTTGAAAATAATTCTGTCTGTTACGCTTTCACGCCTAAACCACTGAACTGATTTTAATGAAATTTGGTACAGACATAGTGTTGACCTTGAGAAAGAACATAGGATAGTTTTTAACCCAGACTTTTGAAAGGTACACTTGGAAACGCGATATAACCGAACTCCACGCGGGCGGAAAGCTAGTATAATATAAATTCATTAAATTCACAGTGCAAACTAAATAAAGATATATTATTAATAAAACAACATTTATTCCTATTAATAATTTTAACTACATATAACTAATATTACATTTAAAATCTATGAAAACGAATCGGGTTTTCCGGATCAAAGAGCTTTGGGTCTTTCAGGAATGCCTTGTCTTTGTAATAGTAAGGCATGTAGCCGCTGTTTTGAGCCTTCGTAATCTCAGATTCAACTAAAGCTTGCTTCGCTTTACACAACCCAGTTATATGCCTTCCGTATATTCTTCCAGTATAAGGGCTCTGGAACTGCGATAGTAATCTGTAGTTCTTGTAATCAGGTTTTATATTCAGCTTGCAAAGAATACATTGCTTGCGTTCCTTTTTATATGGATTCTCCATTTCGACTGGGGCGTCATCATTTTCTGCCACTGCTTGGGAATACGGCCTTATTGTTGAAATAACCGCTCGTCTTGATGTCGACACTAAAATATAGGTATTTCTTAATTAATGTCACTTAAGATTGTGATTAGAATTAAATCAAGATATTCTATAGTGGAAGAACTTACAAAATTGTCGTATAACTACTTGTAATGAAGCCATTTTCACCGATTTTTTATTTATATTGTTCTAATTTTACATAACCTCAAAGATATCTTTCAAAGTATCAGCCGTCAACATAACATTTCAGTTGTCAAAATAATACACTTCAATTTTCAAGTGTCAAATATATATAATATGTAAAATTCCAAAGAAAGGTTTCTTCTAATTATTGTTTTACTAGTACGCAATAAGGGAATTATTTCCCTTCTTACTAATAATTTATTACTAATGAATCCAGATTTATGAAAAATTAACAGCTAAATGTTAATTAATTTTTAACGCCTATTATTTTTTACACAGCAATAAATCGTAAATATAAATTTGCTATATATTTGCTTAAATAAAGTAATAATTAATATAAAGAAAAAGATTTCGTGTGCTCGTGACTAACCAAGGTGACTTTTATAAATCAAAGAAAGATATTGCAGTTTAGATTCAACATATATTTTGCTTTATGAGAATGACCTACAGTAGTAGATTTCTCCTTCCCAGTTTCGTTTATATATTATCACCTCGAAACTATAAAACGTTGCGTAATAAACAAATGTTACATACACAGTTAACCTTTTCGTCTTTGATCGCCGTTAGTCTGAATATCGTTAAAACTTCTATTTCTATATAAAAGTAATCTTTTACTTAATTATAAATAATGGAAGAAATAAATTCTTTGTTTGGTTGCAATTTTCTTTTATTTAGACTTATTTTAATTCTCTTCCAAGATACCGTTAAACTGAGGTAATACCTCTAAATATCTTTTGTTCTTGCTACTAATTATGATGGTCGAATATATTATATAAAACTTGGAATTACAGTGCAATTTTTGCATGGTCATGCTACATATTAATCTTTCCCCACTTCACACATTTTTTTAAGTTAGTGCTATTTACGAAGATTCGTAAATGGAAAACCGTTAATTCTGCGTTTGTAGTGTGATTTTCAAACTTAGTGTAAGTTCATAAAATATTTTCGTTGCTTTTTTTTCTTACTTTTCCTCATCGCTTTCTTAATATTAATATTGTATTATTACACAAAGAACAATATTCAAGTCATTTAAAATACAATATAATTGTTAACAATCTAAGTATATTTATATTAAAGAAACAGTGATTTAGCAAAATATTTAGGTCATCTCTAATAACTCGCTTTTATATCATAAAATTGATTTGATATCCATTTACTGAGCCGAGCTGTTATTATGAAATAATTTGTGTTCAGACTTACGTCACACAGAGCCTAATTATGTAGCGATTCATTTAATTTTGCTACCTATTTAGTTTCTAATTGCAGAATTTAAAATAACTAGATATTCAGCTATACGCAGAATTGTAAATATCAATTGGTGATTGAACAATAATTATATATAATTGAGAAGTACTGATGTATTATTCAATAGATGGCGTTAGTATCGAAAACGCTTTCAAGGATGTTGTATCAGTTTGTTTACCTCGCCTACCCGCTGGCCGTGTTGCGAAAATCAGACATCCAGATTGCAACATGTCCACTTAAAGCGCTATTTGTTAATATGTCTATTACGCCGCCGTTTTGAAACGAACACCTTACCGCGGAAAAGCCAGCTGGCTCGCCATGTTTTTCTACGATTGGCGTTTCTCGTTGGCGAGTTGTAAACAAGAAACTAAGACACCGCTATCCACTCACAGCCGGTGCAGCCACTGTCCGTGTAGTACGTGGCGAACGGCTTACATTAAATATTTGTAAATGTTTTTATTGAAAATAACAAAATTAAACTTTAGAAATTAAGTGCTCGTGCTGACTATTACGCGTCATTAAAGTGACAGTGACATATTTCTTCTTGTGTTTGTTTTGATTTTGTGATTAATATTTTTGGGATTCAAAACCGAACTTCTGTAAGTAAAATATTAATATTTTTTTAATTTTTAAAATATTTGATAGGGAAGCATATAAACGACTGACGCGCAAACGGTAAATGGCTATCGTTTTTGTTACGCAAGTTTCCGTGTTTGTTTTATAAAATTTATATAATGTTGCTGTGAAAAGTAAAGAAAAATCTCGTATAGTTTTTGATAGTTTAGTGAAAAGTAAAAGTTTAGGAGCGTCCGTGACAGAAATGCCATCATTTTAAAATTTTTAATGTAAACGTCCACAAGGCGGTAAGAAATCAAGGTTGCTAGAGAAAGTGGCCCGACGGTATTGTATGAATCACTTCGAGAGATATTTTTCTTTATAAATATAAAATACGAGCTTATAAAATATAAACAATATTCACATTTTATTCTGTTTATATTTTTCTGTTCATAAATACGTTACATCGATGTTAAGACTTCTGTTGTTATATAATTACTTTCCTTAACTATAATAATATTACAAGTTAACTGACGTATAAAAATATTTTATTTCATACATAATTTAGTTTACAAATACTTTTGCTAAATACACAGCCATAATTTTAGAATTTTGTAAGCTAATAGAATTACACGTAAATATTTTGATTTATAAGCTGTATAGATTCAAACCAAAACGGTTTTAATAACATCAAAAAAAAAAAAAAAAAAAAAAAATATATAACCTGTATTATTAAATAAAAAATAAAATTATCTGTAGCATAAATTTATTTTCAGAGTTAAAAGAAGAATAATATATGATATTCTTATTCATTTATGTAATTAGCTTTATTGCTGTAATACAAGAATCGTTTTAATTGCTATAATTATAAATCACGTTGTATTATGATGATGGTTCTATATTTGCATGAAGTCTATTCCATTTATATCTCTGTCGGGACGAACTCCAATGTAAAGGAAATATATATAAGAAACTTGTGAATCTAATTAAATAATCATTAATTAAGAATAGGTTATATTATGACCTATATAATTATATGATTCTACACGCTGTGATTATAGTATTTTGATAATATTATTTTCCTTTCCATATTAGCATTGAACCTAAAAAATTACGAATATATTTGTGTATTTTTCTTTCATTAACCAACAAAGAAATCAACGTTGAGCTTATATTAAATACGATTTTCGGAATGATGCTCTTGTTGACAATTTTTTTATTCTACATTTTCTAATATATATAACACTCGAAATATTAGTAATTGTCAATTTATCTTTTCTTTCTTAATACCAGAAAAAGATAAAGCTTAAAATTAATTATCTTAAAAGAAATTATCAGAATATAAATATATATGTATTTAAAAGAAAATATGTGATCATTGTACACAATAAACATAATGCTGTTATAATTTTGATGTAACTACAAAAGTTTGATAGCGCACGGATACAGTGTGTCACTAAAACTAGTCCGTATATTAAAAAGAGAAAGTTAGTCACGTGGTGCGGACGTTTACGTGCCGTAGATCCCGTTAACGTTAATATTATATACATACATATATATAGCAAAAATATTTATATAAAAGAAAACTAAATGATTTTTCATAATAAGAAAGTATTAGTCAATTAATAATAAACAGGAGTATATTCATTTAGGAATTTTAAATCAATTACTATATTTGTTCAATATATATCACAACTGCATTTAAATCGATCTCTTCTAATTGCTGGAAGTATTAGACTTTACAGAAGTCCAGCATAAAATATGTATTACAGATGACTTTTCTTAGTTGATTGTTATACGCCCTACTCTATGCACTATTCCACCAATTCGCTTATAGTGATAATATTTCTATAGTCCCTATTATGACAATAATTCCGTAACAATCTTTAAGTATCAATGTATAGAAGATTCTTAGGTGATTATATCACCTACTTAAAGAGCTTGCATCAGAATATAAGCCTTCCCAAACCTTCACAACACCTGTTTTATCTGATCTGAATTCTCCAAAATCCTTAACTGATTGTAGTATTAGAGCCTATTAAGTAACTACAGCTCGAACATATGCTGGCTCGTAAGTACCACCCTCTCACAGAAGATCGGCGTTAAGTAGTCTTTAATGGTTTCGTCCGATGAGTGAGAGAGAAGGTTGCTCTTTCTCTTTCCCACCCTTCCTTTCCCTTTTCCTCAATCAAGGGTGGATATCTACTACTTCCATCAAATAGAGCGTCTGTTCTTTAACATAAAGAACCTATAACCATTTCATTGGTCTATCTTATGGGTGAAATGCTTATGTTGTATTCAGTACAAAGTGGTAATTATTCGAGGAACTTAGACTCAATTGGTTACCAATTAGTTTAGCAAGTTCTGTCACATTGTAACTTTAAAATAAAACTATGAATCCTTAGTTCTTCTACTTCGTAATTTCCCAGCTTTAGCCAGGGTCTGCCTTACATGTTGTGAATAGTTTTGGCTAATTGTTCTTAGAACCGGCCGCCTGCCTGGCATCAACCCTCTTTGGGAATAAACTACGAATCCTTAGTTATTAATTTAATATTATATTTCATTCAAATCATTAACACTACACCAGATAAAAGATTAACTTACATTTATACGTTAAATAAAAGTAAATATTACATATTATTATTTAAATACAAAAAACTGAATGTTTTCATATGTTATGCTGATTCATTAACAATGATTCACTTATTAAAATTTATTTGATTATTCAATATTAAACAATGTCGTTAAATGTCCTTAATGAACATAAAAATAAAAATTTAATAGAAAATCTTTAATAAATATAATATTTTAAAGCCTCGTAAAATATTTACTGTCATTAAAATAATAATAATAATACAAAATTTTATATTATTGCTATAAAAAGATTTTGTAAACATCTCGAAACCTTGGTTTAACACAATCTGTAAATAAACTACCTACCCATCAAATATTTGACGTCACTCGTCTTAAAATTATACAAAAAAGACCATATTATGACTAATTTGGTGGACGCGGATGTTGGAGAATTTTGAGTTTTATTAAAGAAAAAAAAACAGAAGAGTTCTTGAGGATTACGTTTAGATTTTAAATAGTTTTTATTGCGATAAATCCGCATTGACTTGGAATAAAGCTTAGAAACAAAAATATATTAAGAAGTTTTAAAACTTATGGTAAGGAAA